ATTGGAGCAGTTTCTCTGCTTTATATCATATATATTCATAGGCGTATTCTATTGCTGGCACAATCCTAATTCACTTGGCTTTGGCTGGCTGCCCACTGTGCACTTTTTAGCCTTTTGCCGTTTTGCCATTTGCCATTTGCCTGTGCCACACTTCTCTGCGTTCGCGTCGCGCTGCTGGTCGGTGGCTCGACTCTGGCTCTTCCGTGCCTCGTGCCTCAGCTAGAACGTTGCGTATTCAACTGTTCGCGCCTGCGGAGCTTTTGCTACCACGAGGCCATTCCATCGGCACGCCAAATGAGCGAACAATCCTCGACTCAGCTTCGGTTTAGCTCAAAAACGTTGTCATGTGGTCTCTGCTGTGCGAGCTTTACAAGTCAGCCGAAAGCTTTTACGCTCATTTACGACCACGCTGAAAAGCACAGCGTCCGTCTCCTTTGCTGATGTTATTGATTGCTGCTGCTGTTGGTCAGAGAGGGGGGAGGTGGAGAACTCGTTTTGTTCTCACTTGTGCCAAGGAATTTTACAGCTACTCTTTGGCTACTCTCTCTCACTCTGTTTCTCTCTTCTGTCCGTGCAGCTTCTGTCGCAGCTTTCTGCTAAGTGCTTCTGCTGGTGGTGGTGCTGCTGCTGCTGCTTCCGTTTCTGCTGCTTCTGCTGCAGTTGGCATTTCCATCCTTGCGTTTGATGAGCGCAGCGGGGCTGCGCATGGCGGGGGTGCATTTCTCGAGCAGCTGACTCGTCCAGCAGAGGCAAGCCTTCAGCGGCCTCCTTCTGCTCCTCCTTCTGCTCCTCCTTCTGCTGGATTAGCTCACAGGGAGCGGCGGGCAGCACGGAAAAGTAGGCAAACGCTCTGCATATTTAATCAGCATCCATTCCATTATTATGCTAAGCGTGGAGTCCGCATTCTATGGCTGAGAGCAGGACCAGCTCATTAGATAGTCATTTTCTCGGATGGCATTTCAAATTGAATTCCCTTCGGCAAGGAAATCGATAAATCGAATTGAAAACTCGAAATTCAACGCATCGTTGCAAGTGCCACGGATATTTAACCCTTTTGCCACTGGCTCTTTAATTGTTTTCATTTCATTTTCCTGCACTCTGACACCGTCCTGCGACTCAGCCCTTAGCCTTTGGGTTTTTGTTTGCTTTTTGTTCTGGCAAAATGAATTTTGCGGTAGGCCGTGTAATTATTTTATATGCCAACCTCCCCCTTAAAACAGAGAGCTCCGAGCCAAAGCTCCAGCAACGCCCACACCGACAGCAGCGAATCGCCAACAGCATAATACATCAGGAGTTGAGGGTGGCTCAGAACGAGACCCGCCATTACCATTATTATTTATGCGTGTGCATGGGACACAGGGCTGGATGGTTGGACTTGGCCCGTCTAGAAGAATGCATGGAGGTGTCGTGTGTTGTCTACGTGTTGTCCCCTGTCAGAGGTAACAATTGCAGCCAGACGAATAACAAATTTAACGTCATGTCAGTGCTGAGGTTTGGGATATTTGAATGCTCTTTCGGTCACATTCCTGTCAGTGGATCGACAATTTTTAAAATATTTTTACTATTAAGGTACAACAAAATCCCCCAAACCGCAACACAGTTTAGTCCGCTCCTGTCTGGGCATGTGCCAATCCTCGTGAAACCTTCTCCCTGCTACTAAGCATTATCCTTTAGCTTGGACGGCTAATTAAAATTCTGCCATTGGCGTCGTTTTGCATAGTTTCTAATTTGCCAGAGAGGGAAGACTGAAAGGGTGAGGCCAGGCAAGGGGAACCCAGGCGAGGGCGAGCCAAACAACATGAATATTTGAATATGGATTTGTGTGGTCTGGCATACTGAGTAGCAGCCTAAGGTTCGGTCATCAGCCGTTGGCTGAAGCGAGAGGAAGGCGCTTGGAAGGGATTCCTTGCAGGTCTCTTCGACTTTGGGCTCGACTGAGTGATTTTTTTTTGGTTTCTTGTACAGGGGATTTTTATGCTTATGGTTTTTCTCTAGCTCAACGTGGGCTTAGGCTCACACACTCACCCTGACCCCCTGCTCCTCCTGAGCGTATTTCTTGATTTCACGCTCCAAATCAAGCTGTTTCAATGTTGGTTTCATCAGAAGTGAGAGATGGTTGTTTGTTAGATTTTGTATACAAATACATACGCTTATGTGTGTGTGCTGTCTGGGGTGTGTCAGTGTATGGGAATGTGTTCTGTGCTCGGGATAGAGGGCAAATGTAAGCCAAAAGTTGAGAGCATCGGGCAGACAAAGTGGCGTCGGTTAAATGGCCAAAGAAGCGGACAATAAAACCAAGAAAAGGCTCGTAAAAAGTATTCTACAGTACATGTAGCATATATAAGTATATATCTGGGCAGACATGGATACATGATGATGCGTGGTGTGGTGTGTGTTTCTCTAGCTCGGGATTATGTAAGAGTGCCAAAAGTTGGGCAAAGCAAAAGGGGAACAAGGAGCTGCCCCCCATGCAGCAATACTCGAGTTTCAATGCGGCTCAACTTGCTTCAACTGCTACACAAGATGAATTATGAAGAGTTGGTACGCTTTTTTTTCAACCAGATCAGAGGATAGATAGGCAGAGATAGGCAGAGATAGAGGGGAAGCAGCAGGGTGGGCTGGCAACTGCAGCACCAATAAATAGGAAATGTAAAACGCACTGACCTCGAAAGAGCCCTCGAACCCGGCCACACACACACACACACACACACACACACACCATCGACTGCCTCTGGGCCTGAATGCTGCTGGAAGTGCAGCGATTGCTCGCTTTTTGGTGCCTGCCAACGCGGCGTATACGCAACAACACTTAATTGCTCAGGCCCCGGCCAAAAGCGATGCTCTTTCTCTTCTTTCTGCTGTTCGGTTTGGTTTTTGTGCAATGGCTTTTAATTACTGCTGTAACTACCGCACACTCTTCACTGCCCACCCCTCTATCCCGGGTCCATTGGTCGATTTGTTTGCTTTAACAGTGACAAATTAATTTCGAGCCTCACCAATCGCTGGCCCACACAGTTGTTGCTGTTTTTTTTTTTGGCTCTGCTTCCTTTCAATTGCTTTGTGCTTTAATATAATACATGAATCCCACTGGAGGGTGGCTGCGTGAATCCCACCACCGCGGACTAGTACGAAAATAAACAAGACTTTACGCAGAAATAAAATGCGAGTCCACGGAATTGTCACATTGGGCGGCTGCCAAAAAATGGGGCATCTGAATATCTTATTGTGCAGAGCCTTGTCATGTACTTAGGCGAGTGCTGTGTATTTTTAAATATTTGTTAACTATTTTTAAATATTTCGTAGCATTCTCTGGCATTCGCATTGGAATCGATTGGCGAACAGAACCTTTGACCATGTGCCCCCACCCGAGAGTGTGTGCTTGCCAGTGGCTGGGACACCCTCCGCTCTGGAGGGACGCTTGGAGACCTTAAGTTGTCCTTAAATAGATTTCGCTGCTGTATCAAGGTTATTTATGCTGCCCGATGGGAATATTCCCATGTGGCTGGCTGACCATCAGCATCAGGCATGAACATGGTTTCTCTCTTTGCTTTTGTTTTCTATGTTTGCTTCACTGCCTTTTGTTCTGTTTCAGCTGAATATTACGTATACGCGGCGCAGCACAGCGGGCTCTCTCGTGCTCGTGTGTGTGTGTGTGTGTGGGATAAGCTTAGGGCAAACATGTAATTACAGACGGGGGAATGAGGAGCGATGGAGGGTGGTGGTAATAAGCAGTTGGTTGTTTCGTTTCGTTTCGTTTCGTCCTTGGGGAAGTCAAACTAAGAACTAAGAGTTAAGGGCCAAATGCAGTTGCTGCAACTCCAGACATAATGTGGCAGGCCATTTTAGATTGATTTCCCATGTGGCGGCACATTGTCCTGTCCCCCTATAGCCCTACTACCATTCCCCTTCTGCCCTACTTGCCCAGCACTACACTGAGAGCAATAAATAACGGACGGCAACAATGATGAGGGATGTGCATTTTGGTTGTGCAGCCAAGATGCATCCCCATTATGCACGCCCAAAAAAAGTGTGCAACAAAATGGAACTTTTATTGCATGCCTCATATCGAACAATGACTACCAAATGACTAAGCTGTTTGTCCGCTTCTGACTACTGTGAATATGAGTATCTGTGAAAGTGAATATCTGTCAGTGGAGTGGCGGGAGTGTGTGAGTGCTGCACTTAATGTTAATTTGAATGACGTTCATTGATGTTGACTGCCGCCTTCAATGGTGTCCTCATTCTCGTCGTCGTCGTCGGCACAAAGTTGCAAATTAATTAAGCGGCAGGAACAAACCAACAACAAGTACACAACAGAAAAAAGAGGCAACAAAATATGCAAAAACTGAATGAAACATGTGTGTGTGTGTGTGTGGGTGTGTACTTGGAATGGGAATATAAAAATCAACAGTGAGTGTGGAGAAACTACGAGCGCAACTCAAGCTGCAGTGAACAGGCTCTAGGGTCTACAATTTTGGTCTAGTTTTTCGTATACAATAAATACATATATATACACACATAATATATATAACAATACGTGTGTGTGTGTGTGTGTGTGGTGTGTGTGGTGTGTGTATATATGAGGAGAGGATTGTGGAGTGTATTTGGAGAAAGGGCATCAAATAAATATTATTACGGATCTTGATGTGTGGCATCAAACTTAAGATGTTTTGTGTTCTCTTGTTTTTACGTGTACAGAGAGAGAAAGACCAGTGGCAGAGAGAGAGAGAGAGAGAGAGAGAGGGAGGATGAGAGAGATCAAAGTTCAGCTCTTTCTCTCTCTCTCTTTGCCACTGTCCGTGTACGAAATCATTCTCTAGAGCATTGTTTGCCGAACGAAAGAAAATTAGACATATAGATTGAGATTGAGATCAAGATTGAGATTGAGATTGAGATTGAGTTATACAAAGAGAGCCACAGAGAGTCCCTTGTGAGGGTAGAGGGATTGGGGGAAAACAAAGATCTCGGTAGTAGTAGGAGCAGCAGTGGGATTTTCTTACCTGCTTCTGGGCCATGGCCTGCATCTGCTGAAACATCTGACGCTCCTCCTCTTTACCTAGGCAAAGGACAACAATTACACAAGGATTCTCCTGGCAATCCCCCCCAACGGGCTCCGAGACTCACCCATTCCCTTGGCCTGCAGCATTTCCAGCAGCTTCTTGATGCTCTCATCGCGGGCAATCAGAGTCTGCTTCTGGGTCTCGACCCGGCACTCCAGATCCTTGATCGTCTCCCGCAGAATGCTTATCTCACGCTGCAGATGATCGTTCTCCGCATAGATGGCCTCCATCTGCTGCTGCATCTCCAGGTTGGGCTGTCGCATCCTCAGACGCAGCTCCTCCTCCAATTGGCGCACGAGCATCGCTTGTTTCTGTGTGATGGAGAGAGGAAATTAAATTAAAAATTCCCTCGTTGGGGAAAGGAAAGACTCTAAGTCCCCACCTGGTTCTCTGTGCTGAGCAGCTTCAACTGATCGTTGATCAGACTGTACTTGGCGCTCTCCTCCTTGCGCAGGGCCCGCTCCTTCTTCAGCTCCGGCGACCAGAAGGTCTTGATGCTGTGCATCGAGCTGCCCAGCTTCTGGTTGGTCAGCTCCAGCTCCCGCTTGAGGTTGCCCAACTCCCGCTGCAGATCGGTGTTCTGGTGCTGCAGATCCCCCAGATAGGCGCGATCCGAGGTGGGCCCCATGCCCGTATTGTAGCCACCCATGGCACTGGGACTCTGGCGCGCCGACCGTCCATACAGCTCGTCCTCTAGGTAGAGGCCTCGCTCCAGCGATCTGTCGCGCGAACGATCGCGCGGCTCACGTATCGGTATGAACTCACGATCGTGCGGATCGACGAGGCCACCACGATCCAGCGACTGATAGCGGGTTCCTGACAAGCAGAGAGTTAATATCTGAACAGAGACTGTACAGGGGTTGTGGCAGCATTACTTGGATAGTCCATGGCATGGGCCATCGGTGGTCTGCTGGCGCTCCGGCTGCGATGGTGGCCCGCTCCGGCGGGACTGGTTGGCTCATCCATGTCGCGGTAGTATGGACTGCCCATTGCTGAAATTCACACACACACAGAATTCATGAGGATGAACAAATGAGTGAATGAGAGGGGACTCTGGTACGGTTTTGTGTTCGTATTTCTCGCCGACATCCGGCACTCCACTTCCACCTCCTGGGCGGGCTTGCAACTCAAAAGTGTTGTCTACTGTGGCAACTAGTGCAGTGGAGTCTCTGCCTCGTTTTCGGTGTTCTTTTTTTCTCTTTTTTTGTTGTTGTTTTTTGGTTTTTTTGGTTTTTCTGGTTGGGTTAGTGGCGGGGTAACGGGGAACGCAGGTAACTCAAAGGAATGAAACGAAACGAAACGAAACGAAAATAAAGAAAAAGTCAACGAAACGAAACGAAACGAAAGAAGGGAAATTGTTTGTCGTGTCCTGGCTTTGGTTTTTGCCCTAACCCACGCAACCGCCACCCGCTGCAAACTAAGTAGCTGCTGCCGGCTTTGTGTGTCCTGCCCGAATCCAGGCTGGCTCATATTTCAGGCGTCCTGTGGCTCGTCAGCCCCTTCAGCAAACATCCAGCACCTGTCTCCAAACCAAACTAAGTTTTACCGGCACGAAATCATTTTGCACGAAGCCAAATTTGCGGTTCCCTTCAACGTCCGCGTGTCTACGTATACGTAATATTCCTTTCATAAATAGTTTAGTATTTTAGTAACCTGCCTTCTAATTAGCTGTGCAAGTGCATACGCATCCTGGCCGCCTAATTGAGTGGTGACCCCCGTGCAGGACAAAGAAAAAAAAGAAACTGCTTAACCCACCATAATTGTAATCCAGTTTGAGGCTTTGATGTGAGGCGCGGCCGCCAGCCAGTTACACGGTTATGTTGCGCAGCTTGTTAAGCGTTTCTTTAGTGGTTTTCAACTTCAACTTTTGCCCGCTCAGCTGTAGCTGTGAGCCATATTGCTGCTGGCTGCTGCTCTGTCCCGGGAACTAATGCGATTTGGTGGCTGCTGCTGCTGCAGCTGCTGCAGCTGCTTGTTGCACGGTTTTGAGTGGATTTCAATCCAATTCCCCGGAATGCAATTCAATTCAGTTTCCCCCGTTTGCCCCCAGTGTTCGTTTGTGTGTGGCGTCCGTGTGCGTGTTAATTGAAATGAAAATTGTTAGAGTTTGTTGCAAGATGAGTGAAGCGAAACGCAGTACAAACGAAATCGAATTCAAAACAAAATCAAATCAAATTTATGTACCATGCGCATGCGTGTGATGTAAGACAGAAATTATAGACTTTAGTTAGAATTGCATTAGTTGAGTTCAGACTACGAATAGTACGAAATAAAAACGAAAACAATACACACCAAGTACCCATGCACATCCATGGGGAATGCACATGGGTGTAATGGCATTTACAAGTACAGAAATGGAGCTAGCGAGCGATAAGTACGGAAAGGAAATTCGACGCAAAAATTTGGATAATGAATTTTGAGAAAAAAGGTTCAAGCCATGGCCATGTTGCAGCTTCCTCTTCGGTGCATGCAACATGTGGGTTAGTGGAGCAATCATAAACGGAAGCCAATTCAAGATCAATTCAAAAATGATAAATTCAAAACGCGGTTCGCCAAACTCTCGCACAAACGTACGCTTGAGTGCATTGTTCTCTTCGCAATCATTTTCTTGGTGCTGGACTACATTTGTGCTAGGATTTGGAGTTGCTTTGGTTGGGTCTTTTGTCCATTTGGGGATGGAGGTAGGAAGCATCATTCACCTAGAGGACTTCCGCGTGGGGCGCCGTAATCCCGTGATGGTGACCGATCGACAGTTGGCAATTCCTGGAGCCGCCGCACGCGACCCGGACTGCGCACACCAGAGCTATTCACTGGATTATATTCGTCACGTGACATAATCCGCGGCTCATCCGCGGCATGCAATAAACCGTAGCACGCACACACTCACAGGGAGCGGGTCGGTAGTCGGTAGTCGGTAGTCCGAGAGAGACAGAGAGAGAGAGTGAAGAGAGCGATTGCTATATAAAGGCTGAGGCAGGGGACACAAGTATATCAATATCCTTGGTGTCCTTTAAATGCAACGAAGAACTTTGATTATGGTTCTCTGGTTTCTGTTTCTGTTTCTGTTTCTGTTTCAGTTTTCTCTTTATTTTTTTTCTTGTTTGTTTGTTTGTTCCTCTCGGTTGATATGCACGTTTTTGATTGATTTTATTTGCGATTTAAATTCATTCTCTTGTGCGCGCTGCATCTGAAAGTGAAAGAAGTGAAAAGAGAACGGAAAAAAAACACACACAATTGTACAATCATGATACGAACTTTCTCTATAATACATACATAATGGACAATAAGTGACATTACGCATACGCACCGCTGCACAACGAAAGCCACAGCCAAGCATCCCCCCCTGCTCTACTCTGCTTTGTTCTGTTCTGTTCTGCATTTAAATTGCATATCCTTAACCTTTTTACCTAAATCTCAGCCAGAAATCCACTGTCCCACTGCACCCACCGGGCCATAAGCGCATAAACAAATACGATAAACACACAGAAAGACACAGAGAGAGAGAGAGAGAGAGGGGAAGCCTACATCTCGTCGAGCAGTGCATTATGGCAGGTCTATGCAAATTCTGTCTTTATAGCGAAGGCAACAAATCGCATGCAAATTGCTCCTTGAGCTGTCGCTTCTCCGCTCCGAATGAGGAATGAGGAATGAGGCAAAGACCCCGCAGCGGGCTCAGTTTATGCGGTGGAAAAGATGTTGCTGGATGTTAAAGCTACCGCAGATGTTGGACTAGATTCAACCGCTAACAGAGCCACTTGAAAGTGGTTCCAACTGGCCACAAATCATTCTTCAATCTCTTGTTAAATTTCAATCTTTCGAGCTCCCATGTTTGCATACTCAGAATCCCCATTAATGCCACCGCATAAACAAGTCCCATGATGGCGATGCGAAGGCACAGATGACGTGCTCAAAGCTGATGCCTGAGGAAGCCTGAGACAGCCACCAGAGACAGCAGCACAGAAGGAGCCAGAAAAGGAGCGAGTGAAATGAATGCTAAGCGAATCAACAAACCGGAAGACCGTTCAAGTCTGTGAGAAGGAAGTCTTCGGGCGTGCGTGTGTGCGTTTGTGCGTGAGTGTGGAGCGACATAGTGTGAAGGAAGCGCTGCAGATGAGGTCAGGATACGGCAGAAAGGCCATAAAATATCGAGACCAGATTCGATTACACAGCCATGCCATTAGGGAACACCAAGCACTGCACTTTGCTAAGCAAACAGCTTCAGGAGAGACGAGACAAAAGGGCGGAGGGCAGAGGTAGAGAGAAGTACAATAACTACAGATGGATTGCACTCACTGCCGCATACTAACAAGCAGCAAAGGAATTGCAGTTGCAGTTCCAGCTGGTAGGGCATGGGAGTTGGATGGATGACGAAATCGTGTACAATCGTGTTGTCCATGCTTGGGGCATGGCCAGAAGTAGAGGTTCATTCTGCTTATCATTCTGCTCGCACCGCACAAGTTATCTGCTTTGGGGGCGGGCATGGGCCCACCCCCCAAAACAAACATGTTGAATTGGCCCCCACATGGGGTGGCTCTCTCTCTCTCTTTCTCTGAGAGAGGGCACTGCTGAATGGTAACCCACCACAGTGAGCTGTGCGCAAGAGCGATGCTTCCCCCGGCACGGCACGGCACGGCACGGCGCGGCGCGGCGCTCTCTCACAACAATAGCGTCATCGTAAAATATTTTGCCGTATATTGTTGTTAGCACTGCCCCAATGTACATATGGATTGGCGGCGTTTTCTTCTCTTGGCCTATACACACGCAGACACAGACATGGGCAGACACACCACAAATAAGGTTAAAATTTGAAATCAATAAACATTATTCCATAGATCTAAAATTAGAGCTGGCAACTGATACTCGCACCACGAGTGAGCTGCAGATGGACACGCAAATGGAGTTAGGGGGAAGGACTGTCTGTGACTGAGACTGACAAATCATGCGAGCAATCCATATCGAAACGACCTCCCCCGGTGCGTTTAGCGTTGAGCCTTGCCCCCACCATCCATGCATCCCATTATAAGTTTTCAAATTGCTTTGCCAAACTGATTGACACAGCCTCGACTGTCGACTGTCTACTGATGACTGACAATTGGCAACTGGCAAACTGGCAAACTGGCGACTGTCGGCTGGCGGAGCGTATGGGCAAAATCTAAATGGAAACTTACACATTATGCATAGAAAATCAAAAGACTAAAAACTAAACACTAAGAGGAGCTCTAACTAGGGCTAAGAGTTCTTCTTCAGGGTTTGTTAGTTACGAAATTAATTAGAGAGAGAAAGTATAAGTGGTAGAGTTACGAGTAGTAGTTGGAACAAAAGAGTTGATCGGATTAAGGCATACAACACACACAAGACAGACAACTGATAACCGACTGGTGGCGGTTGATTAAGTACTAGTACAGGGGCCAGTACAGTACTCACTGGCTACTGACTACTGGCTACAGCAGGCATACGCACAAATCAGAAATCACAAATCAATACATCATCGCTTACAGTTTACATAAAAATCACAAATTGAAGTGTGTCTTTGTGTCGTTGCTTTTGTGGTTGTGTTGCTGTGTTGCTGTGTGTGTGTGGTTGTGGTTGTGGTTGTGGTTGAGTGCTCACCCGTTTTGCTTAGACGATGAATTTTGAATGATTTCTGCTGACGAACTGGAGGCGTATGAAAATTGCTTTTGCTGCTGCTACAGCAGCTCCTGTTCCTGCTGCTCCTCCTGCTCCTGTTCTCCGTTTGCTTCCTGTTCTATTAGCCGCAACAATTTGTTGGCTCACTCACACTCATGCACACTCGCACACACACACATATATAGACCGAATGCACTGGCTACATGTGTGGTGGGGGAGTGTGGGGCTGGGCCAGGCGGCGTTCAGGCAGGCAGTGTTGTATCGTTACTTTTATTGCTGTTGTTGCAGAGTCGTCAGACGGTGGCGTTGTCGGCTCAATGGGCATTTCCGTTTCCGTGCGGCCCTTTCCTTTCGCTGCCTTCCGCTATATCCTTCTGCTGCTTGCACTAATTTAGTTGATGGCACTTTTTAGTTAGTTTGTTGACTTCTGCGGTGCTTGTTAGTGGCCCTCTGTAGTTGGCTAATTGCATTTTGTGTTTGATTTTAACCGGTTTTGTTTTATGTACATGGCTGCGTTTGGGTGTGTGTGTGTGTGTGTGTGTGTGTGTGGTGTGGGTGTGCGTGTGTGTAGAGAGGAAGATAATTAAATCGAGACCGCATCTGCATCAGTTAAAAACTCTCTCACTCTTGATAAACTTAATAAACTAATTAAAAAGGATGCCCGTTTTTTGTTGTTGTTGTTCTTATTGTTGCTGTTGTTGTTGCTGTTGTTGTTGCTGTTGGTTTATTGTTGTGCGCTTTGAGTGCTTTTAGTGGCTCGTGCCCAACGAGGAATTTATAAAGTTGGGAGTTTGGGGCATGCTCCACGCTCCCCACTTCACACACTGACACTCCACTGACCCCCCCGACAAAGCCACTGACACACATTCGACGCACGAAGCACACACACACACAAGAGAGCGAGCGAGGAGTCAGTGAGGGAGTTGAAGAGTTCTCCGCAGATTGGAGTGGCAAAAAGAGAGCGAGAGAGCGGTCGAGCGAGTGGGGAAGCTACGCACGAGATACGTTCCCGAACAGCGTAACGTTCGACGTAACGATGAACGAATTACGAGGGAAGTGGGTGGCATAGGGCGCGGTAGGGGGTTTCTACAACATAATGCTGGGACCAGCAACACCACCTTCTGCCACTTCGTTTGCCACTCCTCCCGCAGCCTGCTCTACCGCACCGCAAGCTTATAGCTTTTCCAACTCAATGTCTCCCTCCAAGCGTCCACCCTGTAGTATGCGTGGTTGCCTGCGTATGTGTATTCATTTGTGGGAGTGTGTGTGTTTCGGTGGAGGGGGAGGGGTATATCTCGAATGGCTTATATGTAGGTTGAAGCAATTTATAATAATTTTGCTTTTCCCCTCAATCGATACACCGTTTAGTGGGCCAACAACAAGAACCAGAGCCACACTTCACTTGTCCGCTCTTTGATTGATGGATTATACATGTATTGGTATGCAATGTATGTGTGTGTGTGTGTGTGTGTGTGTGTGTGTATCGGGAAATATTCGTAGAGTATTTATTGGTTTTCATTTTGGGGAGTTTTCATCGAGTTTTCCTCCTAGGCGGCACTTGGTTTTCTTCCGTTTTTAGTCGCGTTTCTTTTTGCACATTTTACAGGAAATCACTTTTCTGTATCCAGGGAGCAGCCTCTAGCGGAATTGCTGCTACACACGCATACACAGACACACACTCACGTTCACATTCACATTCACATTCACATATAGCTATACTATAAACGATTACAACACACCTACACACACGCACACGACAGAGCGACTAATTTGGATTTGATCTATTTCAAAGACAATTGTGAGGTGCCGATGGCATTTTTTTGCTGACTTCTATTTCACTTTTCTCGTCTCGAATGCAATTAAGCTGAATTTTTCTTGGCCTTATACATTTCTCAGTCAGATACATATACTCTGCATGTGTGTGTGTGTGTGTGTGTGTGTGTGTGTACGTGTGAGGGAATTCGTTGGTGTGTATATTCCTAACCCAAAAATTGGTTGTGCGGCAGCTGAGGTGGCCCGTTTTCGGCAACGCCGTTGTCCAACTAACTACCCTCAAAGAACTGAGCGCCGCTCGTCCGTGCCAGTCGCTGTTATAGTCGCCTCAAGTGGTGAGTTTTCCGACCTCTCCCCAGCTTCTAGCCTAGGAATAGTAAGCGAGCGGCACTCAGTCAGCCAGCCAGTAAGAGAGAGTCTCTCTCTCTCTTGGCCGATTACAATCAATGAATTTTCCTGTCGGCGCTCGCGCACTTTTCCGAGTGCTGGCATTTGCTTTGTAATTCCGACATTCCGAAATCAAACTATAAAACCACCACATTGCGTTATGCTCAAAAGAAAATTCTGATACGTGCTTTGCTTACGTGTACAATTCCATGTTGGCAATGCTGCGCGCCAAAGATTTAAACTGTTTCCTGCCCCAAAATGTATGCTACAATTTTGCATTCATTTACTCGCGGACAGCAGATATCATTCAGCTGGGACTCGGGACTATTTTTTCCAGATAGAACAGCTCTGTTTCTCTTCCCTCGCGATTGCTTCATCGCAGCGCAAATATGAGGCTGCAAAGGCGAAGATCATGGTAAATATAGGGCAACATCATCCAATGAGAGATCCAAGATTATGCACGTATCGGCCTTCGCTTGGAGAACTACTTCATCACGGTACAGACACGCACAATCCCCTGGATGGTGGCATACGATCCATCCATGCGGTGACTTGCTAGCGTGCGTCTTGTAATGGCCTGCTCTCTGTGCATCCTTTCGGACCGCTGTATGCCATTTAAATGCAGTCTACCAAGGATGTAGCACAGTACACATTGTATTATGCATATTTTGTACCGACATTATTTGTTAACTTAAGCTACATACATATGTATTTAGTAAACTCTATAGTTATTTGTTGTATTTTTAGTTTCGAGTCCGCGCAATGCACTTTAAATGCGACGACGCTTGCTGCTCTGCACTGGCGGTGGTGTGGTTGAGGGGCTAATCGATTCATTTGACATCGAGCCGCGTGTACGCTTGGCTGGACGCTTGGGCAGATCAATTGGCTTTGCCGCTAGCTTCTTTTCGATGTCTTTTGAAGTGTTGGAGTGCACCTGTGCTTTGGTTGTAGCTGGCGGAGCTGCAATGCAAATATGATACATCAGTAAAGTATTCCGCATGCAATTGAATAACTCACCTTTGCCGTTGCTCTCTGTGACTGGGGCAGCAACAGCTGATGGGCCATCTGTGGTTTCATCGTTCGAGTTAACCTCCACCTTCTTTTTGGTCAATAGCGTTCCGTACTCCTGTTCTGGCAGGCAAAACTCTCGCTCCTCGTTTGGAAAGGGCAGCGTCTCCAGGTCGTCCAACTCCTTCAGCTTGTACATGGTGCCCAAGTGCTTCCAAATCAGTTCACTGGGCATCTCGCGATTCAGAGACTTTGAGAGCCTCTGCGCAATGCACGACATGTAGAAATGTTTGTTGATGCCCACCGGACGCAGTCCTTCCATGGCGTGGAAAAGCTGCAACTCCTCTTCCGCGGACCACTCATGGTCGCCTGTTGCCGGCAATGGGGCGGCCGCCCCAGCTCCAGCCAGCCCCTTATCTTTGGCCATCATTTTATTTTGTTTTGGTTTTTGGGTTGCCGCACGACGATGAATCTGGTTTTAGTCGGTGATGGGGCTGTCGATATTTTGTTGTAGAGGGTATGCTCGGCGTGCTATCGATGTTTGTTGATGCAAGGTGTGCCCAGTGCACGGTGTTCTTATAGCTAAGAAAAAGGTGTGAGCGTTTTTAAAATAAGCTAGATTGTAGAAAATTTAATCATCAATCGGATAAAATTACATTTGTAGTGTTGAGAGTTCTAGCCTACTGGGAATATTAAACAGAAGATCAAAGTCGAGGAAAATGATTTAAGATTTACGGTATTTACATTATATTTTCCAAATGGAATTGTATATTTCGGTATGTTTTCGAGGGTCTGACGGTATATTTGATCGATTATTCAGCGGTCACACTGTTTGGGTGTGTATCTTTTGCTGCTGGAGTTTCGGAAATACAAAAACTATATAAAACAACAAAGCTGGTAAATAAATATTTGCGTTTAATTATAGTTGTGTGTTGTGTGTGCATTTAACTAAATTCCTTACCTCTAACGCTGTCACTGTGTCCGTCAAAACTGTTAGCCATATGGGCATACATCTGTATGTATGTATGCACATGTGCACCTATGCAAATCTTCCTGTATAGCTGCAAAAAAGAAAAAAGTATTACTTGCTTTATATTTTTTGTAAATCGTTTCGGAGATTCATATGTTATGCTGTTAATAGTGCCCGCCTACTTCTATCGTCTGTTCTTCTTATATTATTTAAACAAACCCTTGCCCTTGTTCTGTGCAGAAGTCAAGGCTTCGGGTGCTGGCGCTGAAAAGTTAATCATCGATCGATTAAACCATGCCTACTGACGTTTTCGTACATATGTCGCGCTGTGTTTAGCCCCTCATTTACATGTGTATCTATGCGTGACTCACAAATCTATCTCTTTCACTTTCGAATGTCTGAAACTCTACCTAACTAACTAACTCTCTTCCAAGCTGTATCTACCTGCAGAACAGAATATCTAATGTGCGTACATAGTATATGTTTAGCGTTGTGTCGCTGTCGCTTGTTAAATGTTGTACTGGTGTGGGACGCACACAATTGATCAAAATGTTTAAACGATTACCATGCTGCAATGCACTTCTTTTATTATTATTTCCAGCGAGCAATTAAGAATCATCCAAAACACCAAAACGAGCAGAGCTTTTGAACTCGCTAACCTTGTCCAGACCACACAACCACAACAAAAACCACAACCATCCCCACCCACCCTTGTAATTGCATATCACAGTATCACTGAGAAACTTTTCAACCATAGGCCTATCCGAGACAGCCATCATGGACGTAATGTCATCATCTCTACAACAGCAACGCATTGTCGTTGACCAGCTGCGTCGCGAGGCGTCCATGGAGCGCCAGACCATTTCGGAGTCGTGCGCCAAAATGATGAAGTACATCACGGAGCACGAGCAGGAGGATTACCTTTTGACTGGATTCACCAGCCAGAAGGTAAATCCATTCCGTGAAAAGTCCTCGTGCACCGTTCTTTAAGGAGGAGTTTGGAGTTGGCGATGTTCTGCATTAATATGCAGATCCTATAGTTTACTTTTAGTTTAGCAAGATGGATTCTTAATATGTATATGTGTAATAATGACACCAGTACCAGTCAACGCCACCTGGATCAATATATATCTCAATATAACTCTTTGTGCAAAAACTATAATAACAGCAAGCAAAGCAAATTGTCTCAAGCAACATATGTATGTTGCGATTGCTATGAATATATAACGATATATCAATATGTACCACTCACGTTAACAGGTGTATAAGGTTTACCAAGCCCACAGAAAGATTCCAAATTCATAATCGAAGCATTTGTCCCAAAGATATATCAGAGTTGTCTCTATCCGAATGGTAGTACTCGCGAGTATCCCAACAATTACGAAAATCAATGCGCTGACTATGGCATCTACTACCACTACTACTACTACAACAACTTCTCCTACAACAACTACCTAAACTACAAGTATAAACCGAAACACACACATATATACCTTATTATCAACAAGAATAATCCGACATACAAATTTATCAATAAACGTAAACCCAACAGAAGATACATATATTTTGGCTTCTTATTTCGAGAAATATCTGTTATATTTATTGAATATTGATATTGATAAATGACAACAATTGAATCGAATATCGAATATCGTTGTATTTTGAACAAAAAAAGAGAGCCGCGCAGCTCATTGACCACCAATTGCTATGGATGGATCATGGAAACTACTAAAATGAAAACAAAACAAGCAAAAAATGCAAAATATACGCAAATATATTATCGAATTACTTTAAAGGCTTTAAAAATGAGCAGAAATGCAACAAATGAAACCCACAAGCTAGTTGAACTTATCGCAAAACTTTAGTGCGTTTATTATCAAGTTTTTCTTAGTCCAAATATATTACGAACCGCTGTAGTAGCGCAGCAAGCATATAATACCAAAGAATGGAACAAATCCAATATATAACTCTCTCTCTCTATAGCGTAGTTTATCCATTTTGATTCACACAATATGCCAATATGCAATGAAAATTAATGATTTGTAACTTGCATTCTAGAACAATAATTCATTTCAGGTCAACCAGGCAAAAGTCCGTAAATTTTCTGCACTTTTCCGATTCCCTTACCGAAAATGACAAATGTGACAAAGAATGTGTGATTTTTGTTTTTTTGTCCAAAATACTCTGTGAAAATATCTTAAATTGTGTTGACACTCTTATTGTTTCCTACAGACATCACAAACACATGCATTCATGGTCATTGAAATGAGTTACGGGCAATATACTAAAATGTAATTAGCATGAAATGCAAAGTAATAACAGGAGAAAAGCTATTTTTATACACTCTAACGTGGCAATGGGCATATTTGTATGGTATTGGAATGAATAGTAATGTGAATTCAGTTCACGAAGAAGGCACGCTTATCATACATCAATCATGATAACCCCCACTCGTACATGTTAGATACAAAAAAAAAAGATATGTTTATGTCGATTTTCATTGTGACAATTGTGTCAGCCTCCGGCCAGAGAAGACAAGTTGTGATGATGAAAATGATGCAACAATATAATTTAATCGGTCGGTTCTTCCAGTGTTGCATTTAAATAGTTATAAATTGGCGGTAACTTTAGTTGATAATGAAAAATCGTAGAGCAGAGTTAACATAGGAATCACACATTTTTGCAGAGGCGTTTTGTTTGAGAACTTTGTCCGAGATTTTGAGCCACAGTTTGCTGTCGTGAGCAAACAGCAAAATGTGGCACAAAATTAACATTCGGATGGATTTTAGACAATTTTGAGTTTGGTGGTCTCCAGATCAAAACTGCAGTTGGTTTAGAAGCCCACACATACTTTCCGACATTTAGCAGAACAATTTTCGATTTGCCAAACACTTTTTTGCATTCAAATATTTATTCTTTCGATAGATACTTTCGTTTGTTAGGGCTAGCCAGCAGGGGGTTTGCTGCGGCGATTGGGCGAGCGAACCATCCAATGGAGCACGGATGGATTCGTGCCCAATCCGTTCGCTACGGGCAGACCCCGCGTGCAATTATTACCACTATTAATATGAAAAGGTAACCAAAAAAAATAACAAATCACCAGCACTCAAAATCATGTACATCGAGACCAGATATCACAAGAGATTTAGCAAGTTTTATTCACTTCAATTGAAAAGCGACAACGAGATCGTATTTTATTCGAAAATTAATACAAATATTTTGGGACCGCACCGTCTCGCCCCCCACTGGGATGGCAGACGTTTGCCGAGTGTCCACACAAATATTATTGAAATGTATCTGCAAATAAGCATTTGAAATATCTATTGTACCCAACTCAAATGAAAAAAACAATTAATCGTTTGCTTATATTCCAAAAATAAAAATGCGATAACTAACATAGAAGAGTTATCCTAGCGGTGGCACCAGGTTCGGTGCGAAAACACACCCAAACATTGTTTTATTTACCCAATAATGAACGAGAATTCTGTCTCAGTTTTCGTAAGTTAGGTTTATTAATACAAGAAACTGTTTGTGTGTGAGTGTGCATGTAGACATGTGTGTGGGTGAGAGATGTTAATGAAATTTATAATTTCCACGGCGAGTCGTGTGTGAAGCATACTTTGCAGGAGTGGGAGAAACTAATTAGAGTGTTTGGGGGAGATGTTTAGCTCTCATCATCACTGCCGGCTGCCTGACGCGGCTTGGGACCACCGGCACGCTTGGCCATGATAATCTGGTCCACCTTTAAGATGGTTGTGGCCGCACCAACAGCATACTTGAGACCCCAGAACTTTCCTTGATACAGATCGAAGAGCTTTGCCTTCGCCGCATCGATTGTGCTTGCCGTCTCCGCTTCAATGTCGAAGCCGATGTTCTTGCCGCTCTCGGAATTGTGCGCCAAATACAATAGGTTGACAGCTTCGGTGCCGTTGAATCCAGAGTTTTCAGCCAGGGCCTTGGGGAACACTTCCAGGGCGTTGGCAAACTTGCGCACAGAGTACTGCTCCAAGCCAGGCAAAGTGTCGGCATACGCAGACAGCTGGGTGGCCAGCTCAATTTCGGTGGCGCCGGCACCTGGCAGATAGCGCCCATCGCGTGTGAGGCACTTGAAGCTGTTCACGGCGTCGTCTAGGCCGCGCTCGATGTCATCCATGAAGTTGTCTGTGGCACCACGAATCACAACTGTGGCAATGCGCGAGTCTTTGCCCTCATTCCTGGAACGAAGAACAACAGTTTACTTTGACATTCTAGCACATTATTTAATGGGATTACTCACCTAAATGCTACGATTGTTGTGTCTCCCAGCTCCTCAATGCACACCTTGTCGCAGTAGCCCAACTCCTCCTGGCTAGGCGTGGTAATGCGCGGCAGAACTGTGGCGTTCACAGAACGACTCAGACGGCGCAGGTCGAACTTGGAGTTCAAACGGACAGCCATGAGGCCGTATTTGTTGAGGAAATGCAGGGCCATGTCGCCTACCTTGCCACCGGCAACGACGACCTTAACACCGGCATCGGCAATAGCCTTGATCTGATTCTCCAGCAGGCTCTCCTCTCCAGACGAGAACTTCATGAGTTCGTCAGCCGACTTAATCAATACTGTGCCCTTGGTCTCCGTCTGGATAATGTCCACGGGGCACGAGAAAATGGCGATCTTTGCCTTTTCGGCAAACGTGACATCACCCTCAACGAAGCGCTTGAAGACCATACCACGGACTACTTCCGACTTGGGCAGACCACTGCCAAGGATCTTGCAGATGCGAATGTTGTCCACGTTGAATGTGCCCTCGTCAGGCAATATGGAGACACAGGCCTTGCTCACCAGGTCATTGAGGAAGTCCTCCTGGCCGTACTGTTTTGACATGATGGTTGTCCGGAGGACATCCTTTACCTTGTTAACGTCACGATAGTCCTCGATTTTATGGCAAACCAATTTGGGCAGAATTTCGAGTGCCTTCTCCAGTGCCTTTTCATAGCCATCGGCTATTTCGGCAGTGGTGATGCCCAGACGCAGCAGCTCCTCTGCCGACTCGAGCAGAGCGCCGGCCAGCACCACAACGAAGTTGGTGCCATCTCCGACCTCAGCGTCCTGCATTTGACTGGCCATGACGATCAGCTTAGCGGCAGGATGCTCAACATCTAGCTCCCGCATAATGGTTCCGGCATCGCTGGTCACAAACTGCTTCTCAATGTGGTTGATGATCATTTTGTTCATTCCATTGGGGCCGTAGGCGGAACGCATTGTCTGTGCAAACTCCTTGCAGGCACTGATGTTGCGGTAGACGGCTTCCTCGAGCCCGCTATACATCTAAGGACATGAGATAAATTATCATTTCAGACATTTTTCATGAAAATGCATGACTTTTGCAATGGCGATGACTAATCACGCGCCTCACCGAAACGGCATGTTTTTATTTTTGACCGAATTTCAATGGAATCGGTGATAATATGGGCTATACTTTCTACATCCTTTATATTACACTTACCCGGGCGCCATCCTTTAGCATCTGCGATACTCCGGGTGCTTTTGGTACAGATAAAGCCATTTTTGTACACAGATTTCAATTTCACACAGCAAGTCGTCGGTAAATTAAAGCAAGTTTGTATAACCTCAAAGCAATCAGACGGCGGCGACGAATATTCTGGACCGAATTTATATCGATGTTGTTAGCGATTTGATTCAATACTTTCCTGGAACTTTGTCGCTACTATCTTAAATATATATTTGTCTAAAATACGCTACAGTGGACGCCAAAAACTAATTTAAATTAGTATTTTGATCTAAAAAAGAACGACCTAGATACAGTTTTGATTATTTGTTGACAGTTTGGAAAAAGTAGCAATAGACAATTCTTAAATTATTGCCGATAGTGAACGCGCCCAAAGTGTCTAGCGATGGAATCAAATCTTAATATATCGGCGACTACTACTTTCTTATAAATCGGTGTCTTGCGATAGATTTTTCTTTGTTATATCGATAGGTATCGATAGGAGCCCCTTGCCGCAAATACGTAAATTTGTAAAATAACAATGTCGCAAGGCAAGAAGCACGTGTTGGGGTTTTCTCCCAATGGTGGTCAACTCTTTGCTTCTGTTGACGAGCTGGGAATACTGCGAGTATGGAACACGGAGACGAACACGCTGAAACAGGAGTTCACTCCGAACCTGCAGGTATCTGGCCCCTGCACAGCGCTCACGTGGGTTTTGGTGGCAGCGCCGCGACCCAAGAAGTCGCGCAAGAGTCTGCCGAGCCAAGAGGCGGCCAGCGACCAACTCTACATTGCTCTGGGAACGTTGAAAGGCGTCGTAGTCATATATTCATTGGCCGAGGGAAAGGTAAGAATCGATTGGTTCATTGTAACACGTTCCCCAGTAATGCTCTCGTGCCATTGCAGATTGAACGTACTCTGAGTGGCGACAGTCACGATGGCCCAGTCACATCGATTGTGTACGACAATGCGGGGCATCTGTATACAGTGGGAGTTGATTGTCGGGCGCTTGTTTGGTCGTTGGAGCAAGAGCGCTGCATCAGCGACTGGCAGGTTGGACCCGAGAAGCCACGAAACATCGTGTATCTACCAAAGAGTCGGACCTTAGCAGTTGGCTCACGCCAGCTAAAGGTCTATGATGTGGATACCAAGGAGTTGGTTGAAACCTTCACCGGGCACTCTGGCGAGGTTAATGCCATCAGCAGCGTTGTGTGCACTGACGATGCGGAATTCGTTCTGACCACAGCTCGAATGGAGAGAGTCATTTGCTTCTGGAAGATTGAGAAGAAGGGCAAGAACAAAGCGTCTTCCTGTACGCTGCTTATGGAGGATCTTGCCTACTGTTTGTCCAGCGAAGTACAAGACGACGGACAGCTGCGGGTGGCGAGTGTGACTCGCAACGGCATCATACACATATACCTTTTGAATGTGAACAGGTAAACCATTAGGATTTCAAAAATAATACCCAATTAATGCCTATGCCATTGCAGTCTGTCCGCCGAGAAGTTCGTGAAGCCAAAGGCCTCCCTGCAAATCGTTTCTGATGGCTCTGATACGGTCGAGCCCATACATGCTCTGGCCTCTTACTTTGTAGCCGACAAAAATCGCGCGCACGAGATTCTTTTTGGTTACGGAAATCGCAAACAAATCCAATTCGAACGCTTCACCCCCAACTATGCTGAGAAATTGAATGTTATCGTTCGCGCCGACCCAAAAAAATTGTATGCTAAGAAGAAGGGCAAGGTGCAAGCCCTGCAGGCTGCACAAAAAACGCTCACACCTGTCGTGAGTCAGAAGATTGTGGAGTACAATAGTGCACTGCCGATTTCCCAGAAGAAAGTACAAAACGACGTTCCAATGGAGGCGCGCTTGCAGCACCTGCAGATCAAAGCCACCAAACTGGGTGGTGGGAAGCTGCAAACACAGAGCAAGACACAGCTCCTGATGCAGGCGCTGCACAGCAAGGATCAGGCGTAAGATTCTGCTTAATCGTGCCAAGAGCGCACTTAACAGTCTTCCTTTTCAGCATGATCGATGCAGTGCTCAGTACACATGACACGGAGACGATACAGCTGACACTGGACCGCCTGCCGCTCGAATATGTCAACCCCTTGGTGAACGAACTCTCAATACTTATACAGGGAAAGCATGCTAAGTAAGTGCACGACTTAGTTGCTTGTAATTCGAATGAAGAATCTACTTACATTTTTCCTTAAATTACAGTGTTACATCTGCCCTACGCTGGCTTCAAGTACTGGCCTGCACGCACACGAGTGCCCTGATGTCGGAAGACAAACAGGCACTACGCGAAAAGTTGGGAATTGTCCTTGGCGTGGCCCAGCAACGGATGCATTGTCTGTCGGAGGCATTACAGTGAGTATTTAGTATTTCGAAGCATGTTTATTGGCATCAGGGCTTGCCCTTCTTGGACTTTTTGGGCTTCTCGACAGTGCCGTGTCGGCATTCGCAGACCTCAGCGTAGAAGGCCAACTTGGTGTGCAGAATGGTGTCAATGTAGAATCTTTGAAAAGTAAACGAGTTCAGCGAACGCTCGCCCACCGCATAGTACAGAGTGTTGTGGCCCTCAAAGCGGTATGTGATCATCACTGGATAGTGCTTCTGCATGACCTTTGAGACGGTAATGATGAATCGCACCTTGGCGACAGCCAGTGGGTTGGGACAGCGTGGCGTTGGCCGAGAGAAATGTGCATCGACGAAGTAGATCTTTCCCTTGATGGGAATATCGTGCTGAGTGGGGTTGCTGAGAACCGCACACTTTGTGTCCGGCGACAGCTGCCACTGTCCAACAAAGTCCTGGATCTCGGACAGTACATTGCTGTATTCAAATGCCCCAATAGTCGTCGGTTTGCGCAGCAATCCGCTGGAGCCCGAGCTCGGCCCATAGTCACTTATTGCCACTGTTGTGGCAAAAGTGGTAGCGCCCTCTCTCTCGTTGACAGTGTCCGTCACCTGAACTTCGAGCAGCGTAGGCACTTTGGCAGTTGTGTTCTTCGGTGTACCTGGAAACTTGTAGCAAAACAGTCCCCGGGGATCGGACTGCAGTATGGTCAGAGCTTCGCAAAGGGTGCCGTCCACCAAGTCCATTATGCACTGCATGTCGGCGTCATCACAAACTGGCTTATTGCAATGGGCCACTGCTTCGGCGATGCTTCCGACCTCAACTATGGGGGAGACAATGCGCGCGTCCCAGGCATCCGACTGCTCATTGTCCGAAGTCTTGTTCAATCGACGCGATTTCAATAGAATGGAGGCTTGCGAGTATTTGCGGTCCAATAGCTCCGAGTCCGAGACGGGGTTGTTGTCCATTTTGAGCTTAATTTGGTAATATTTTATTCCAATGAAATGTATTTTATTTGTACACTTTTTCAAGTCGGATTTGTATTGTTTAATTTAAGAATTTCTGGACGAGTCAACCTGATCATAAGTCAAATGAAGCGAAACGCAGATAATCATTTGAATGAAAGCAACGTTTTAAGTGTGGACGATGAAGAGGAAGGTTAGTATTTTGAAAAAACTACCTCTGGTAGTCGTTTTGTATAAATCAGTCTTTCTGCTTTCTGCAGATGAGCCTGTAGACGCCGACGGAGACAGCGCACAGGGTGAAAGCAACTGGAGCGACCTGGAAGAGCAGAACATCAGCTCAAACAGCATTGCGGGCGAAGGCCTAGCGGCAGACAATGATTTGGCGGCCGATGAGGAGGATCTGGCAATGACACAAGGCTCGGAAAATGACGATGACGATCTGAGCGATTGAGCGACTGATTTGGATATTGAATCCGCGGATTAGCATGATATAATAGGTACCAATGCAATTTCTTTATTGTCCAACTGCGAACCCAACCTTTCCCAAGCCAATTAAACTAGAGTAGTTTTCCAAACAGTTTTCCACACTGAATTCTATGCAATTTGTATTTTTATTTGTGTTTAGTAACTACGTGCAACAACGAATAGGGAGCCAATTATATTTTCTAAGACATGACATGAGATTTTGTCATTAGCAAGCAAACGTAAACATTTCATTTCCATTTTCCAATCTATAATAATATGGTAGAATATAGTGCCAAGAACAGAGTTACGCTTTCTTTTCCGTAGGTAGTTTGAGTATACATAAGTAGAAGCTCATTCAATAACAGCTCAGTAACTACTAATAGGTGTGTGTTTGTGTGTGGTGTGTGTGTGTGTGTGTGGTTTCATTTCATTTTAGTTGTCAGCAAATGGACGAACAAATTTACTTCCAGTTTGCTTTGAGGAAATTGATTAGTCCGTTGGTGGAACTGTCGTGAGAGGAGACCTCGGCGCAAGTGTCGAGCTCCGGCTCAATGGCCTTGGCCAGCTGCTTGCCCAATTCAACGCCCCATTGATCGAATGAGTTGATGTCCCAAATGATGCCTTGCACAAAGATCTTGTGCTCGTAGAGTGCTGAAAAATTAAATGATTTCAATTATTAATTGATTCCGTGAAAGTCAAATCGGTCAAACGTACCAATCAATGCGCCCAGAGTAAATGGTGACACTTTCTTCACGACAATTGAGTTGGTGGGTCGATTGCCAGCGAACACCTTGTGCGGCAGCAAGTTTTCCAGCTCGTTGCCGCACAATCCGGCCTTGGTTAGCTCCTGCTTGGCCTCATCGGCGGTCTTGCCAGCCATAAGTGCCTCCGTTTGGGCTAGGAAATTTGAGAGTAGAATTTTGTGGTGCTTGCCGCCGGCAATGGGATTGTGCGTCTGGGCGGGGGCAATGAAGTCGCATGGAATCAGGCGAGTGCCCTGATGGATGAGCTGGTAAAAGGCGTGTTGGCCATTGGTGCCTGGCTCGCCCCACACAATCGGACCAGTGCTATATTGAACTGGCTTGCCCGACTTGCTAACGAACTTTCCGTTGCTCTCCATGTCGCCCTGCTGGAAATAGGCGGCAAAGCGGTGCAAGTACTGATCGTATGGCAGCAGGGCGTGCGTTTCAGCATTGTAGAAGTTGGAGTACCAGACGCCGAGCAGAGCCAGAATGACGGGAGCCTGAAAACCATACCAACAAATATTTAAACATGTTAGGAGTTGCTCACAAATCTTTACGTACATTCTTGTCCAGTGGCGTTGACTTGAAGTGATTGTCCATGTAATGGGCACCATCCAAGAGCTGCTCAAAGTTCTCGAAGCCAATGGACAAGCAAATGGAAAGTCCAATAGCCGACCAGAGCGAGTAGCGTCCTCCCACCCAATCCCAGAAGCCGAACATATTGGCGCTATCGATGCCGAAGGCAGTGACCTTCTCCTTGTTGGTCGACAGAGCCACGAAATGCTTGGCAACGGCATCCGCCTAGAAGCGCAAAATGTGGAAAATCTATAATAAATGCATACGACAGAAAAGGCAATCGACCTACATCCTTGGTATGCTCCAACAGCCAGGTCTTGGCCGATGTCGCATTGGTGATGGTCTCCTGAGTGGTGAAGGTCTTTGACGCGATAATGAACAATGTTGTCTCGTAGTTGACCTTCTTCAGAACCTCCGCCATGTGGGTGCCGTCGATGTTGGACACGAAATGGGAGTATAGCCCCTTGCCGTAGGGTTTCAGCGCCTCGGTGACCATCAGGGGTCCCAGGTCGGAGCCACCGATCCCAATGTTAACCACATCGGTGATCTGTTTGCCAGTGCTCCCACGCCACACTCCAGAGATGACCTTGTTGGTGAACTCCTTCATGTGCTGCAGCTCGGCGCGCACATCTGGCATCACATCCTTGTTGTCCACAAGCACCGGGTCTGCACCCCGATTGCGCAACGCGACATGGAGGACGGCACGATTCTCGGTGATGTTGATGTGCTGGCCACTGAACATTGCATCGCGGGCCTGCTCCACTCGCCGCGACTTGGCCAACTCGATGAGCAAGGGCCACACCTCATCGTTGACGCGGTTCTTGGAGTAGTCCAGCAGTATCTCGCCATCATTTGGGGTACTCAGACGTAGGCTGATAAAAATGTGAACGTTAACATTGAAATTCACTTGACCTCAAAGCAAAGGCGACAACTGCTACCAGCAAAGGTCATTACTTTGACCTTATGCAAGGACAAACGAGTCCGTAGCGAACTTGAAATAAAACATTCGATGATGAAAGTAAAAGTACATACAAATGTATGTACGTATATGTATGTACGAAAGTGTGTATGCATACACATTCTTTTCAATTTATGTGTGTGTATGCATAAGAACTTGTTGGTATACTACTCCATCGTTATGCATACACACACTTTCTCCTTGGTCCTTTCTCATTCTGCCGCCCACTCACCTGTACTTGGAAAACCGCTTTGGATCTTTCACAAACAAATCTTTGATAATAATTTGCTTGTGATTAGCATTGTAGTACTCCTGAAGCTTTTTGAAAGCGGGCTCCTCGTTGAGAGCGGGCAGGGTTCCAGCCATTTTTCTTTGGGGAGGTGGGAGGTGGGTCTCGTTAACACAACTTAAAGTCACAAAAAACACAAGTCAACTGCAAAAGCAAATCGCGACACTTCACTTAAATACGGTTGTTACTGTTCCTGGCACCACACACAGGTTCTGTTTTCTATGGATCCGGTATATTTCCGGAACACAGGCCCACAACTTCGCCGTTATTAATATTATCGTACTGAACCGCGCAGCAATTTTCCCAAAGTCCTGTTCTCGGTAACCGCTGGAATTTGTCAAATATTCCTTCAATGTCAAATGAAAAACAACTCTCGGAGTTGCCACGTCGCCGGTCAAGCTTTTGTTTTGATTTTGCAAACAGGCGCTGAATGAACTTGTGTTCCGAAATACATACAATTTTTAATTTACTTGTTCAATTTGACAATCCTTGTCGATCGTTAATGATCGTTTTTTAAGAATTAAACAAACCTTGTTGGCAAGTTTCTTTTTCCCCCAGGATGGCAACACAGCGATATCAGAGTTGCCAACTATATGTAAAGAACTCCAACTATCGATACTTGAATCACCCGAAAGAAAATAGGTATTACAGAATTGAGGAAACGTTTGTCATCTCAGGCTCCTATGAAATTACTCACTAGCCTTCTCAATAAATATTGGCGGTTCATGGAGACCAGGACAAGAAATCTAGAGAATACTAACCCATATTTGAACAGCGGGTATTTCAATTTACTCACAAATATAATAAATAAATAATAAAATATAAATATATTAAGAAACTTGAACATTTCTATCGTATTCTAGGCGAAAGGTCATTCTCGTGATCCTTTTTTTGTAAGAAAAGAGAAAACAACACACAGAATAATTACCCACTCAAGATGTTTAATTGTTTAAATAGAGCGGGTTAAGTTTTCTGACTTCGGTATTTCCTCTGTATATTTACGGTATATTTGTAAATAAGAAGGTATATTTCGGTATGTTTTGGAGGGTCGTAATATATATTTCATCAGTAAAGCCACGGTCACACTGCCTAAAAGATGGCGACGCGCTCGCTACTTTAACAGAAAGAGAGGTAGTTGTTTTTTTCAACAAATATATATAATAAAACAAAATAAAACTAATGCAAAACATATAAACAAGAGGAGCTGTATGTTCTGGCCTACCGTGTGCATCGTAATCTGTAGTGAAACAGTGGCAAAAGAATCGGCTAGGCAAAAGAGTGAAGTGAAACTAATACAAACATTGGCATGTCCAGTGGCAAGTGAGCAACAAGTGTGTAAAAAACATATTGTGGTCGTATAAAATGTTAGGAAAAGCAATCAGCCCACCTGGCTACAGGTATATCGACTGCATCTGCCACAAATAAACAGGCATAACTGCTAAAAAAGAGCATTTTAAACCAAGGAACCGACTCTCTGCACACGTAACCTTGTGTGCGCGTAGCACGGAAGCTGTTACTGGCTTGGGCTGTGGCAGTGCAACGCCAACAAAATTGGAATACTTTTTCGTATGTATGTGGATTCGAGTCGGGCTGCTGTATTGATTTTGTAACCTAAACGGACCCATAAATTACAGCGGACACGTGAAGTATTAGCCAGTAAAATATTCCAAAGACGTCGGGTACGTCACAGAACATGGACACAGCCTCTGGAGCTGGATCTGGAGCCGGAGCTGGCAGTGGTTCAAGTGGCAGCATCGCCGATGCCTGCCCCTGCTCAACGGTTGCTGCCACCGCTCACAACGAACAGCCGCAGACCAAGAGACAGAAAATTGAGAAGCAAATCAAAGTTGGCTCCAAGTCATTGCCCCCGCCACCGTCGCCGCCAGACATTTTAGATCGGCGGGATGCCCTCGATGCCAATAGCAACAATAAGAATCATCATCTTTGCTCATCGCTTTCCTCGTCCTCCACGCACTCGCTGTCAACGCCCAGCAGCACCAACAACTCACCCACAGCGACGCCATGCAGCTCGAGGGCGGCCTCCTATGCCCAGCTGCTCAGTGTACAGAGCTTAGTCCACAATATCTTGCCACAATCCGAGCTGCAAACCGAACCGGAGACCACAAAGGACGAAGTGGATCGTGCCGCAAAGCTGCCAGATCTGCTGACCATCACCACCACCACCAGCAGCAGCATCAGCAGCAGCAGTAGTTGTAGTAATATTAGCAATAGGAGCAACTGCATGGCGTCGGCATCATCATCGTCATCAATTGATGATATGCTGGAATTCGAGCAGTCGCTGACGCGCCAGTGCCTGTGCGGCGTTTCGGAGCGAACGCTTCGCAAGCCGTTCCAGTCGCACTACTCGCAGGACACAAACGGCCAGAAACGGATCGCGTACCTTAGGGAGTGGCCCACCAACAAGCTGCTGCAGTTCCTGTCCAACCTGCAGCTGCTGTTCGACATCTACCTGAAGCAGAATGCCAAGGGCTTCATTTGTACGAGAATAATGGACGTCTGCGATGCGCTGATCCGGAACGACAACAAGCTCATTGACGAGATCATCGTGCTGGCGGGCTACAACAATTCCTATGTGCAATTTCTGGCGGGACGTGTGCTAGCCGCATTTCTGGTGATTGCCAAACAGGAACTGAACGACGAGTGGCTGCAGAAAATCGTTGACCAGCTCTTCAACTTCGAGCAGCTCGACCAGGCGGCAGTGCAGAAGATCCACTTCAGCCTGGACATTATCAAGCGCATCGTCGAATGGAAAGACATGGAGACGCATCCGCTGGACGATGACTGGATGACGAACACGAGTGCTGCTGGCGCTGCTGCATCGTCCATGGCCCTGCCAGCGGATGCCGCTGTGAGCTACATGCACTTCCCCGTGCAGGATCAACCGCTGGCGACCAACTACTTTGCGCTACAGTTCAGAGAGGATGCAGCGGGCGAGACCGAAAGGGAGTCAGAGAGCAGAGATAGGGAGACGGAGAGGCGCAGACGGAACGGCGGCCTGTACGATGATGATACGATAAGCCCTCATCCAGCACAACCCGCATCCGTGCCCGGCGGCTGTCACGTGGTCACTCTCACCGACTCCGAGAGCTTTGACACCACTCACCTGAAGTGCATCACGATACAGAAGCTGGAGCACAAGTGGCCCACGCTGGTGAAGAACATGTCGGAGCTGATGGCTCCGACACACCAGGATACGGCGGAGCACTGCGTTCTCAACTTCCTGCAGCTGTGGGAGAACATCATTTCGGTGAAGGCCAATCTGTCCATCGACGAGACGAGACCCTACTACGCCCAGCTGGACAAATTTGAGCTTCTGCTCAACCACAGCCTGTCGTGCACCGTGTACAAGCAAATGCTGTGCCTGTTCAATGAGGCCCTGTGCTATGGCTCCACGCTAGCGCTGCAGGACATGCTGCCCGAGGAGACCTGCAAGCTGGCCCACCAGATCGTGTGCCATGTCCGTGGGTTTCGCATACTCGAATCCCTGCCGCGTCGCCAGCCGGACAATATGGTCAGCCTGATTGGCTACAACGGCACACCTCTCGTCTATGCGAATGGCGCCATTGCCATATCGACAATGGCTCGATCCGCAGATGTTGCGCCGCAGGATGCAGGCGAGGATGGAGCGCCAATGCCACCGCTTGATCTAATCGAAATGGACAAGACGCTGCTGCAGAAGATGGTGCTGCTGGTGCTGAAGTCGATTGCGGTGACAGTGAAGGAGATTCGCAGCGATTCGTCCGACTCTTCGATTGACTCGAGCGATTATGATGCCTTCCAGGACATGATGCTCATCGAACGCTCCATTCGGGATGTGCTGAGCAAGCTGGAAACGTTCATCAAGCAGACCCTGGAGTTCCACCCGGAGTGTCATTTCAGCAAGATCCTGATCCATCTATTCGATGACCAGGACGATCACCTGATCGAGGCCATGGTCTGCACCCTGGACGTGACGTCGGGCATTTCCTTCCGCAACAATGCCTTTCCCGAACTTGTTTCCATGCTGAATCCTGTGTATACGTTTCTGGAGTTCCTCAAGATGACGTCGAACAGCTCGGACCTGCTGCTGGACCTGCTGGTGAGCAACGAGACCTGCTTCTTACTGTATCTGCTGCGGCTGCTCAAATACATTCGCATGAACTGGACCATGTTTGTGCACAGCTGCCACAGCTTTGGCATGGGCAACGCCATGCTGGACGAGGCCATGGGCGTGCTGATCCGACTGCGCCTGCAAATATCTCGCCTGGTCTCCCGCCAGCTCTATCCGTACGACATATCACCGGTGCTGCGTCTGCTGGAGAGTTGCGAAAGTCTCTACGAGGGAAACGAGCTTAGTTAAATGCCCTGCCCTGCCCTGCCCTGCCCTGTCTAAACGCATGCAATTAAAATACGTAATTTATTTTAAAATTTAATGTAATAGGAGAAGCTAGCGCAAAATTCGATAATGAATAATCCTTGTAGATTATCCTTGTAGTGTACTAGATCTAAGCCACATCGTGCCCCTGCTGATTGCAGGCAAATTCCTTTATCCATATTCCATATCTCTATCTCTCCAAATTAACGTTCCATTCCGACTCAATAATCCAATAATACGATGAGAGTTAAGATATGTAACTAAGCTTTCTGTCATCCGCTTCGAAGGTCGTCCTGTCCTAACAATCTGGATACATAAACGTATGTAATTGTCATTGCAAAGAGCATCACAAGATTGTAGTAGTTAGTTCGTAGTTAATGGTAATGTTGTAGGTACTGAACTCCAAACTACGCTAGCCTAAGATTGTTTTAATCTTGCCCTAAGTAGAGTAATGTACCATAGAAATTGGCTAAATGGATGGGGAGTTCATTTTTCTCGTTTCACCGCTCGCCGCTTGTGCAATTCGTGAAAAGTGTGTACAAATATTGGTGTCTTCATGGATTGCATGGGCGGGTTGGGGTAGGTTCTAAAATACTTGAATAATACTATAGCTTAATGAATTAATTAACTGATTAACTGATTAAAAGAAAAACGCATTAAGAACAACCACAAAAAACAATACACATCGATGATGGCAATGATTTATCCAATTATTATGTACTCTGTGTGAAGTCTTCTCTATAGATTCGATTGTCTTGTTGATCGTTGTTGAAGTATTCATTGATATTGATAGGACGCTGGATTTAATGACGATTTATCATGCGGACGCGACGTTTCGAGTCGGCGTTTGGATCTAAATTTAGCGGATTCGGACCCGTGATGCTGATACCAGAGCCACGTCTGGCCAACTCGGAAGAGTATGGACTGATATTTGAGACATGAACAGTTTGATAGTCAATGCTGATGGGTACGGATGAGCGGCGATTTAGACGCGTCTCTGGGGGAGAAAACAGTTTGGCTTAGAGCTGTTTGTGTGACATACCATACCGTGACTGCGGTGACTGTTCGTGTTTACCAGCAGAGCGTGCTGCAGGATCTCGATCTCCTGCCGGTCTGTATGCTAACGGTGATGGGGCTGTGGCCCTGTGCTGGTGATCGAGTGTCTTTGGGGTGCACACGGTGTGGCTTCCCTCCTCGTTTAGTATGTACTTGTAGCGGTCAACCGACGCGGCTCGCACCTCTCCCAATAGTATGTGCCTGCGCCGGAAAACCGCCGACTCTTCGAGCAGTACTGAGATGAATTAGCGCGTGTGTGTGTGTGCGTGCGTGCAGAAAGTGAAGATCAGATAGTGTCAGATCAGTTCATATGGCAGAGTTCAGCAGTAATGTAACAACAGTAACACGCCCATGGGGTAAAGTCAAATAAAACGCAAGCTCATGGGCATGGCTACATACTCGTAAAGTGATCACAGGAAGCGCACAGTAATTGATTTATTTTACGTTTACACACATCAATAAATATATATAGTAAAGCATAGTTGGACAGAGTATGCCAGTAAGTAGTAGATGCATAGATACACACACATATCTTACATTCAGTACAGTTTCACACAGCACGGGAGTGGAAGATAGGCAGAGCAGAGTGTGAGGACAGACATACATACATATTTCAACACGCTAGTCTAATTATATCACTAAAGTACAGGTGCCTTGCAAGGATTTTAGAGATCAAAAGTATACAATATATAAAGGGGTTTGTTGTTCTTCTGAAATAGTCAGGAAGACAGCTCTCATAATGGACAAGTGCTTCACAGTATATAAAGTTTCTAGACATAAAAAAATTAATGGTAGTAGTAAATACAAGTAGAGTAGAGTAGATAACATTTAGATGTTTAAGTTGTTCCCTCTTTAACCTGAACGGATGTGTAATCTTCGGCCCAGCGAGTTACATGAAACCCCTAAAATTTTGGCAAAGTTTTTGGAGAAATACCTTTTGAGGCCCTCCGATCCTGCTTGTGTATTTGCGCATAGGATTGCAACGAGCAACGGCGCAAACGTTTGTCTCCTTTGTTCTTCTGTTAATCAAAATATGCAAAATTTATTGGAATATATGCAGCAGACGGCTTAGGAAGTATTATTCTTACCGACTTGTAGTGCTGATTGATGTCGGATGCTGCCTTCAGGAGCAGATAAATGAAGACCAGGGCAAACAGATATATTATGGGCTCAGCCGTGTTGCTCTTCTTGGCGGTCTCCTGCTTTCTCCGGTTATTTTCCAGAGCTTTAGCCCCACGAGTGCGCTTACTAGCAGCGCTTCCACCTGATCCATTTCGAGTTCGCTTGGCGGCCTTGGACTGAGATGGCTTTGCCATTTGGTTGCCAGAGGGAGAGGTGCCATTTGGTTGTGCGGTTTCCTTTCCGAAGACCTCAAGCTTTGTGCATCCGAGGTTGCTTGCTGGCACGTCCTCAATGGATTCCGGATAGCCTTCGTCGAGAGAGACATCGGGATCGTATATGTCGAGGGCAGACACGCCGGGCTCGAAATAGTATCTGTAATTGCATTGCGCCCCAGCGACCACGAGATACATTGTGCAGAGTACCATGAGGATTCCCAGCGGGACTACATGGTGATTGTTTGTTTGACCACTGGCCGTGGATGGGCCTTCATCGACTTCATCCTCAGAAATGAACTTGTCGCCGAATTGTGATTGCATGGTCTAACACCTAACCATTAAACATTTGTTGCTGACTATTAAACACTCAAATAGGTAGCTGTGTGTATCTGCCAGCGATTAAAGTCGAAGTTGTGTTTGAGTCGGAAAATCGATATGGACTAGGGCCACCACACGGCTTCACATTTTGTAATTGAACACAAAATAGATGGCCAAAGAGATGCTCCGTTGCACCAACAAGTGTACTTTTTATTTTATATTTTACTTAATATATTGCTTTATTTTTGCAACAGCCAAACAACTGTTTCTTATTCAACGCTCTCCACCACCAAAATACCATACAAATCTACGTGTGTATGTCTCCCTTGCCGTACTTGTCGCACCTGCCCAATGCCATTTAGCTTTTGATGTACGTTAATTCAAATCGCGGAGCTTCGATTATGGAGGGCTTAAAACTATTTTCAATTATTTACAATCTGATAATGAAAGATCAACGCGGTTAACATTCAAAGAAACCAGTTGACATTCCAGTAAGTTGTTCGAGTATGTCTAGAATAATATTTCAAATCGCGATATATTCAAACAAAGCAATCCTTTATTTCAGACTTACCAGTTATCTGGAGATTTGCAGATTGATTACTGATTGTGGTATACATTCGCTTGCTCTCCGCCATATTTTGTCGCTTAAACATCACAGTGCGCAGACTTTCTCCTGCAAATAAGCGCACGTTCTAGAGATCATTTCATAAATTAGAAAGAGTTCAAATGCTACTTACGACGGCGGACACTGTAGTTGCCTGGCTTTAGGATTTGCTGATTTCTTTCTTTAGGCTTCGTGTCGGTGGGTCTAACCACCAATCTTCTGTTACGCACTGTGTCGTACAGGATGCTGCAGTGGCTAGTCGCAATGCCCGAAAAGCTGGGTTCTTCTTGGGATTCTTCCACCAAATGGGAGTCCAAAACACTCGGGCCCTCTTCTCGTTGGCTCGAAGCTCCGATACAGCCATGAAGCTTGCGCAAAATCGTCCGAAGGATCTTGAAGCGCTTGATGATACGTTTCTGCTCCACCTGGGACGCACACATCAGTATGGCCTTGCACTCGCGTAGTATTCGTATGAACTGCTGCAAGTACTCCTGCCCGACCTGAAGCTTCGTCTCAGCCAAAACCTTTCGATTGACTTCCACCTGAAAATGCTCCAACACGAACAGAGCCATTTGCAGCAAGTCCTCCAATGCGCATTTTTCGTAGTGCTTTTCGGCAGCACTAATGCCTGCCGTGAGTATCTCCAAGCAGCAGCCAAGAAACGCGCGACTTTCAATGATCTCCTGTAGCGCAGCCTTAAACTTGGACACTTCCTCGTCGAAGTGCTGCTCCAAAACGTCCGAGTACAGGTCGGAGCCGTTGGCCTGCAGGGAAGGTATCAGGCTAGTGTCCAGCGACTCAAAGGATGCCAGACAGCTGCGCATCATTGTTTTCACTGTGGTAAAATAATGAATGAGTTGTGCCCATTTATCTATATAGAATATCATGATTGCATACTTTTCAAGTTGGGGGCAAAGGCAATTGCAAAGATACCAATCTGGGTGGCTCGATCGATGTTCACATCGAAATCGGCAATAAACTCATCAGCTATAGCTTCATCCTCCGAACTGCTCCTCAAAAGGGTCCTGATCTTGTCCACTGAGAACTTTTGAAAATCCAAAAAGCAGGTAAACACCAGACGCAGCAAGGCATCATTGATGAAATCTTCTAACTGATAAAGCGCCTGTTCCAGTGTCATGGATTTCAGCTTTAGATTGGAGCTTGGCGTGTTCGGGTCTTTGCATTCATCTTGGAACGCGCTGAGCTCGCGAATCACCTTAAGTGACAAAGTATAAGTATGCTGTGAATGGAATATCGATCAGCATACCTTCTGACACAGTGCACTTAGTGCCCTTTTATCCTGTTGCAGGGCTACATTCGCAAATCCCAATGTCTGGCCCAAAAGCAAGTCGACGTTAGCGCGCAGCTGTGCGCTTAGGGACAGGATCTCTGCGGGAGTATTAGGAAAGTTCATCAAATCGCTGTTTTCTTCATTGCTTGAACTGAACAGTGCTAAAGTGTCCAACGTGGAGTCAAGCAATTTGAGGAAGGAGCGGCCCTGGCCGTCTTCTGTAGACTCTTCACTCGAATAAAGATGCAACAGGCGTTGCAGGCACCAGCGAATGCGATCGAGAAAATAAACGTGGCTCGCCTAACATAACATTTACGTGTTAGTAGATGCAAAAACATGTGTTGGGATATTTACCGAAACTGCAGAGCCAGACGCCAGTTTCATTGTGCACTCTACTTGCCGCACACACACCATAATCTGAGTTAGGCAAAGACAAACCAATTCGGCGGACTCGTTTGCTTTGGCCGTCTGCTTCCGATCGCTCAAAGATTCGTGGACAGCAGATGAAAATTCCAATAGAGCCGCACAGAAATCCTGCAAACAAAGAAACCTTTGTAATTTCTTCTCTAAGATTGCGGGTTCTTTACCGTACATTAAGCCAGTTCATATTTCTCGCACTTGTGGCTTCAACACCTCTGTTTAGTATGCGAAGGCACAACTCTATTTTTTTCCGCAAGACTTCCATAAATAATAGTTTTATCAAGCGTTTGAGCAAAGGTAAACAATCTATTTGAAAGGTGGCTTGTTTTGAAGCGGCACTCCTAAACTGATGGGGCAGCGCTAGGCACACACTGTTGCATTTCGATATTCAGCCGTTTCCATTGAAAATCTTTTCGAAATAAACATAATGAACCTGCGCCTTTGTTATTGGTGCGGATTGGTGACTAATCTATGGTTAGGATTAGCAGTGTCTTTATTTATGAAATACATCCCCATATATGCGTGACCCTGATTTTTCTTTTTGTTTGGATGAAAAAATCCCAGTTACTAGCGGCATAGCGTCGTTCCGATCCTATCTTTATATAGGCGTTAATGGTGGTTCCAACTCATTTCATTCTATACAGTTCTCCTTCCATCCTTTTATAGTTTTTATTTTTTGTATGTCAGTTTTTCTATTGAAAATGCCCGACAAATGCGCCTATTTTATTTTGTAGGAATGGTTCGACGGTTCTTTCATATCGATTCATTGTGTATACCCCGCTGTTGTTTTGAAACAATATTAATGTAGATGCTTTTCAGTAATAATTGTGAATGGAATAATAACAAAGTGAGCCGCTACAGCAAACGCGACTGTTTTTCTGAATTAATTTCAAAACAATATAATTTCATATACCAAAATCGATAGATACATTTTCTCCGGTAAACAATATCGCCAACAAAATATTATCAAAAAAATATATTTTATATCGATAAATAACTACGCAGACGTACACTCTTTTCGGTAAAAAACTTTTCTGATAAAAACCAAAATTAAAAAATTTGCTTGTGTTTGTATCTATGCAAAAGAGTAGATAAGGTCTAGAGCTCCTCTTCGTCGCCAACGCCACGTTGCACTAGCGCACCCGCTCAACATCCACGTACATTCTTCACAAACATCAATACATCGGGGCGAAGAGACAAACAAGTGCAGGAAAATGAGTTCTTCTTCAAATGCAGGCCAACGCACCAAACTAATACAGGAAAAATGTCAAACCTTATTAACCCAAATGCTACGCGACGAAGATAACAAATATTGTGTTGACTGCGATGCCAAGGGTATGTACTGCAATACATAATTTATGCTTTATTTCGCTCCTGGTGACGCACGGATGTACATCGGTACACATATGCATGCATACTTATCTGTGTATATGTGTGTACTTATGTACACAACTGAATAGAATTTGACACTATTGAGATAAATAAATTTGATAGCTTGCCAGGATTGCAAAGAAATTCTCTTCACCTTTTACATACATATCATACATATATATATGTACAGTCACGAGTTAAAGAGTTGCTACTATAAAATATGAACTGTATTTATTAACAGGTCCCCGCTGGGCGTCTTGGAACTTGGGAATGTTCCTGTGCATCCGCTGCGCTGGCATTCACCGGAATTTGGGCGTTCATATATCTCGTGTCAAGTCGGTGAATCTGGACACATGGACGCCGGAGCAAGTAATCTCGCTGCAGCAAATGGGAAACTCGAGGGCCCGCGCTGTGTACGAGGCGCAGCTTCCAGATGGATTCCGACGGCCACAAACGGACACCGCATTGGAGAACTTTATTCGCGCAAAGTACGAACACAAAAAGTATTTGGCCCGCGAATGGGTGCCGCCGTCACCGCCGAAAGTAGACTGGGCCAAGGAAATCGATGAAGAACTAGAGCGGCAGAAGAGGAAAAAAAAAAGTACCCAAGCCACATTGGGTCTGAGTGGCGTTGTAAGCGGTGTCGACAAGCGCGCCTCCACCTCAGCGACTGGATCGAAAAACTCGCCATTACCCGCCCCATTGCCCAAGCCCAAGCCGAACCAAGTTGGCGGCTGCAGCCCAAAGACCACACATCGTGTACAATTAAATAGCAGCAATAGCAGCGCCGGCGAAAGTGATCTGTTGGGCCTTTCATCTCCCACTAAACCCATAGTGGGCGGTGGGGCTGCCAGTACTGCTAGCCAAGACCTTCAAAACGAAAGTTTCACCAGCTTTCTAAGTGCCAGCAGCTGTGGCATAATCCCAACTGATTCTGCCACAGGTCACCAGGAGAAATTTAATGGGAACAATGGTGATGCCCTGCTGGCCTCAAAACCCAACTCATTGGCACAGGAGGAGCAGGACTTCTTCAACCAAGGCTCGCTGGGAAACGGGGCCAACGACAAAGACCAGTCGGGAAAGATGTCCAAGGACAGCATCCTGGCCCTGTACGGAAATGCACCTACCACCCACAATCCGCAACTGAATTTCGGCGGTTTCACAGGCATGGCTCCTGGCGGGTACATGCACCAGCAACAGCAGCAGCAGATTCCGCATCAGTTCATGACGCCTCCGAACTCAGTTAGCATGTATAATGCCCCTGTAATGGCTGCTCCAAACGCGTTCAGCAACGCCCCCATCAGCTCGAGTGCCAATTCGATGAGCATGGCGGGCGTGGGTGGAGTCGGCTTCGGCGGTGGCCAGTTTATGAACTCTGGCGGCAGTGCGTATGCTACAGGCAGTAGCTTGCCCGTGCAAGGATCTGGCTCGAATCTGATGCAGACAAATCAAAGCATTCTGAGTGGGATGCCCCTGTTTGGGGCACACCCGCAGGCTGTTCCACAGCAACAGCAGCAGCAACACCCACAGCTGGCGGGCCTCTCCATGAATGTCATGCAGCCCCTGTCCAGTGGCTTGCCCCAAGCCGGGCCGATTGGATTCGCCGCCTCGTCCGGCCCCACTGCCTCCTCAGTACCATCCAATCTGAATCAGCAATTCGGAAACTTAAATATCGGTAATGTTTGGCAATAAATACAGATCATTGTATTTATGTATATGTATTCCTTTAATTAATTTTAAGACAAGCGTAAGTCTCGCGTTGCAGATGAGATGATGAGTAAGGAATATACACTTGGTTATATCCATTTGATGTGCAACTTGCCAGTTAGTTAGTTGTGTTGAGACGCGTTTGAGCGAAACATTCGTCTTGATAGCAGAATTATCCACTTGACTCTCCCGTCGAGCCATGTATTAGATAATGTTCAAGGTTTGCACGACAGGGCAGGACAGGGCAGTACAGAGAGTGCAGTACGGCGCCCGTTCGCTGAATCTATTCCAATTATACTATAACTATGTGTAACACCAAAATAATAAAAATCTAATAACTACAACTAAAACCTATAACGCACTTCCCAATTAAATGAATGTATATGTTCTTTTTGAAATATTAGCTAGGTATTTAATACATATATTTCTGCATAAATCGTCCATGCAGGAAAGAAAAGAAAGAGTATGTAATGTAAAAGATTTGGCAATGTACTTTTAATTGGTCCGCATCTTAAGATAATCTCACATTTGTTTCTTAAAGTGAATATTAAATATCATGGCTGGAGTGTTGGCGGATCGGATTAATGTATGCGTTCGTTTTGTAAGTGGCTACTTTTAAGGAATAAATTAAACAACTTCGAACTGTGTAATATTAATTGATTCAAAATCTCGTGCATTTATTTTATACAAAAGTGGTCAGCTCTAGTATAAAAGTTGGGAGTTATCTACTGCTCACAACGTTCCCGCTCGTTTTTAAATAATTACCTTGCAAAACATCATGTTGCATCGATATTGTACTCTAAAACATCGAATACAACGAACATCGAGGTTTTTCCACCTCTATCAGGCGCTCGAAAACACGTCAACCCCGAGAATTAGTAAAAAGAAAATACAAAATACAACAATAAAATTCAACCGTTCGTTAGAATGAGCGAGCAAATCGAGGAGAAGCTGCAAAAGCTTCTTACCGATCCAGCCATCAGCCAGGACCTGACAACGAAAGAAGCCTACTTCGCAAGTCTATCTGAATGGGCAAAACAATCTTCTATATCCCAAAATGCAATGGCAATGTTTCCATATTACCTGCTCGCCAACTACCCGCAGCTGTTTCAACCGAATCCCCTCCTGCCGATCTCTCCTCTAAGGGCACAGGAAACTGGAAGCGCGGCTACTCCTGCTGCAGCTCCACCCGCCTTCAACCGCTTCCGGGTGCTGGACGAACTCCAGCAGCAGGAGACCATACAGCGTGTGGGAGGCTATGAGTATGTTGTGGCGCCGTTTTGGAAGCGAGCCGTCGCGGAGGCAATCGACATGTTCATCCTGTTCATACTGAAAATTATTGTGACCTTTGGCATAGTGAATCTCTTTGATATCGATTTTGACAAGGACGTTATGCGGAGAACGCTGGAAGATGAGGATCTCTTTGTGAACTTCTTCGACATCTCCATGGACTTTATAAATATGTCGTCCGATCTGCTTATGATAGAGATGCTAACCAAGATGATAGTGTGCTGCTATGAAGCTGTTTGGACGGTCTGGTACAACGGAGCTACGCCTGGGAAGTCGCTGATGAAGATACGCATACACTATGTGGAGGCAGTGCTTCCTCTGCAGGCACCCGTCGTGCCACAATTTGTTTTCCAGCCGCAGCGGGAACCACTGAGAGCCCTGCTCTATCCCGCTGAGACCCCAAAATTGCTGAGGGCATTCGCGCGGGCCCTCGCGAAGAACCTTGTTATGACGCTGCTGTTTCCCATTTGCGTCGTTATGATATTCTTCAAGAACAACCGAACCGCCTACGACATAATGACAAAGACGATAGTCGTCGAGTCCAACTCCAATGCCATATACCGCACCGATGTGCCGCAGCAGCAACAACGTAATCGCTAACAATCAATCGGAAGTTATAGGAACCCCCCCCCCCCCCCCCCCCCCCCCCCCCCCCCCCGTTCCCCTTACACGATCTGCCAAATGGTGTACGGAGTATTTATGCATAAACTTTATACATATATAAATACAAAAGTTATTGTTAATACTAAATCTAAAGTCGTTACGTTGATGTAAAATCCTGTAAATTAAAATTCAATCAAATTCCTGAAACGCTGAGTAAGTGGAGTACGGGCGTGAGTGTCGGAAATATCCGAATTCGTTCGTTTATTGGTTTACTTGACATTTACGTTTTTCAGTGATTGAGAAACAACATTGCCCTTGCCAGGAACATGCAGGGCTGAGCCCTTGTAGCATGCCACCAGGTCGGCATTGGTCATTAGATCAGGAGCACATGTTTCGAAGACCTTCTTCTTTGGATTTAGCTGAGCATCCGGCTGGCGTGTGTACCCCTCGCAGTGAACCAGATCGCCGGGAACTGCGCCAACAGGTGGGCTGAGCACTTCCACTTTGTCCGGGGTCGAAGCACACATCACCATGGCCTCTGAGGTCACGCCCCGCATTTTGGCTGGTTTCAGATTGCACATGACCACAACCATACGGTTCTGCATCTCCTCCAGAGGCACAAACTTCACCAGACCTGAGACGACAGTGCGTGGGGCGGCTTCACCACAGTCAATCTTTTCTAAATACAGGCTATCCGCATCGGGGTGACGACCCACCTCAACAATCTTGCCAACGCGCAAATCCAAGCGGCCGACATCAACGGGAGCCTCTGCGACGGGACTGGGCTTCTCGGCAGCTGGTTTCTTTTCCTTGACCTTTTTCTCCTTTGGTGGAGCAGATGGCGCTTTCGCCTCACTTGCAGGCATATTGGAAGAGGCATTCGCTGCTGCTGTCTTGGAGCCAGCATCCGGCGCGGCGTCGGTGGAGAATGTTCGGGCGCCTGGGACCAATATCTGTTTCTTGCCATTCTTGACTTCGAGTTGCACTAGCTGTGTCAGTGCCTCTTCAATTTCTTTTTCAAGTGCGGCGTTTTCCGCAATGAGTTCTTGTTTCTTACGCAGCACGAGCTGACTTTGGATCCCGGCCATCTGTTTTCAGCAAAAGTCAGATTAAAACAAAATTTTTTTGAGATGTTAATACTTGCCATTTCCTGGAGGGAATCAGCCAACGCTAAGGCGCATTCATTGTTTTCTACGATTTGCTGCAACGATGTCATTCTTGTCTTTATACTTTTCTTATTTCTTAAAAAGTTCACAATTCCGTATTTCCTGCTGACGGTGGATGTTATTCGCAGCATTGTATTTCGATTGGTTTATCAATCGAACAATTTAAAGCTCAATTATGGTGTTATGGCATAGAACTTTGCTGAGGAGAGAGAGACAGTATAGAAGACAAAATGCAAAATGAGTGTTCGTGGTCTTCAGATATTTCTGATTACATTTTATATTTCTGTGGAACTTATAGAATCGACCACACTTTAGATATTGTCATCATATAGTTTAATTATAAGCACACCTTTCCAGTGCAACACCTTGCATGCCCTCGTCAACAATCATCGATAGCAACACCGAGCATACCCTCTACAACAAAATATCGACAGCCCCGTTAGAAGTACCTTGGTATGCAGATTCATCGCCCCTCAATTCGCGACTACAAAATAAAAACAAAAAAGAATAATATATATATATATATGTATGCATCCAAGCACAGTCTAGTGGATTAGATGGATTACGTTTATTGTGGCTTCGATCAAATCGGCGCCTCAGAGGATATATTAAGTATGTGTCGAACGTCAGCCCCATTTCGCCGATATGTGCATACGAACACAAACGCTGGCATATGTGTGCGTGTGCATTATTGAAACTGGCACACAAACAGAAAAGCTTTCTCCTTTGTTTACGTTTCAGATGCCTACGATGGGGGCCCACCGCGCGGCACTGGACACTTTTCCCCAAGTTTCAATGGCTTCAATATAGGCACCACCGATCCTGACTATGTGGAACTGGTCCCAGTTCTCGCCGATGGGGGGGAACACTTTGGCGTCTCCAGTGTCATCTTCGATGACTATGAGGAGCTTCTGTGGATGGGAAACCAGGGAGTAAGAGGAAGCTCATCGAGGCATTAATATTTCCCTGCTAACGCAACTCGTATCTCGCATCTTCAGGGCCATGTCACCTCCTACTATACGAGCTCCATGCAAAAATATACATCATTCCAAGTGCACGCCAGCGACATAGTCCGTCAAATCGCAACCTTGGACTCGGGAGTGCTAGTGCTGACGCAGACCTCGCTGCGTCACCAAATCCGAAGAGGTCTTCCCAAGTTCACTCACAAGTAAGTGATGAAATGTCTGAGCAATTTAATGATTTCAATGGATCGGCTGGGATGCTTACAGATCCAATCATATGGCGGAAATGGTGTGCATGCTGCAGCTGTCACCTAACCGGTTGGTTATGGCTGGACTCCAGGAGGAGCTCATCGACTTCGACTTGCGTACGCTTAAGGAAACCCGATTGGAACACGTAGGCGCCGCCGGCTGCACGGTTCTGCGCAAGAACTCGCGATATCTCTTTGCCGGTGATCAGTTTGGGACAGTCACGCTGCGCGACTTGAACAGCTTGAGTGTGCAGCATACAATTAAGACTCATACCAATGTCCTCTCCGACTTTAGTGTGCAGGGAAACCTTCTTATCTCATGCGGTTATGGCGGCAGGCAGAACAACCTGGCTATAGATCGCTTCCTCATGGTCTACGACCTGCGAATGCTGCGACTAATTTCCCCCATACAAGTTCTCATTGATCCACAAATGCTCAAGTTTCTGCCGTCTCTGACATCCCGCTTGGCCGTCGTGTCCAGCTACGGCCAAGTTCAGCTGGTCGACACTGTCGAGCTAAGCGAACCGCGAGTTTCAATGTATCAGATAAACACAAATGGCAGCCAGTGCCTCAGCTTTGACATAAGCTCCTCTTCGCAGGCTATGGCATTCGGCGACCAGTCGGGCCACATAAATATGATTGCGTCAGTGCAAACGCCTCAGCCGCAGTTCAATCCATTCTCGCGCAACACTGAGTTCGCAGACGTGGTGCCGCAGCTGCCTGTGGTGTCGATTACGGATACAAACTTCCCGCTGTCATCGGTGATGCTGCCCCACCTGACGACAGGCACACAGTGGTTCTCCGATTGGCCCGAGGAGCTGCTGCACTATCGCTACCACAGACCCAAGACCATTGAGCCCGATGTGCTGAGCAGCATGAAAATGCAAGGCCCCATTGGCTACTCGCCGAATCCACGCACAGCTCGACGGAATCAGATTCCGTATGTAATTGAACCAGGGGGCGTAGGCAGCACTAATGTAAACGGAGCAACGGCGGTGACGAAGGCAGAGAACGGTGTCAAAATCATTCCAAGGCGATATCGTAAGGTTGAGCTCAAGTACACAAAGCTGGGCACACAGGACTTCGACTTCGATCAACACAATCAGACATGCTTCGCTGGATTGGAGGCGACGCTGCCCAATTCCTACTGCAACTCCATGCTGCAGGTCTGTCATTACGATCAGCCAAAGATATATAATGTATTATAATAATTATCCAAATACCTTTTTCAGATCCTGTACTTTACAGAGCCGCTGCGCATGAAACTCATCGAACATGTCTGCACAAAGGAGTTTTGCTTGTCTTGCGAACTCGGATTCCTATTCAACATGCTGGACAAGAGTAGCGGTTGGTCGAAACTTGCTTCAGATAGCAGCGGTGAAGTACATTTGATTTCGCTTTTGTTTTGCAGCTTCTTCGCCTTGTCAAGCCAGCAATTTTCTGCGTTCTTTTCGCACTGTGCCGGAGGCCTCGGCCTTGGGCTTGATCCTCACCGATCGGTCGGCAAACGTAAACCTAATCACATTAATACAGGTAAGCTTTTTGCATATATTTATAAATAGACAACAAAATCATCGACTTCATCTACAGAACTGGAACCGATTTATACTGCATCAAATGCACTACGAAATCTTCGATTCCAGCAAGAACTCTTCTGCGGGCGGCACTGTGCAAGCCCGAAGTAATGGTAACAATATTGATTGGCTGTGAATACTAAATACTAAACAAAGGTTTTGTTTTAGCTGACAGCTCGAGCACAGTCGACACTAGCGGCTCCACAGATCTTTACGACTCAATTTGTGGTAGGTGTGGAAGGGATGGGATCTCTTTAATTTGATCATTTTATACATCCTCGCTTTACTCCACATTAATAGATGACACCGCCAAGGATGATGACAGGGAACGCAGCAAGATAAATGTGGAAACGGATATAAGCAAAATATTTGGCACCAAGCAGATCTGCATAAACCGTTGCATCAAATGCCACGTCGAGGTACAGATAAATGAATACTTTTGTTTGTGAGAATAGTTTTTAAACGAGTTGATTGTACAGAAATCGAAGGAGAACCTGCTGCTGGCCTGCAACATGTCGTATCCGACTCACATTAAAGATAGTGAGCAGTATTTCAACTTTGGAACTATTTTGAAGCGTTCTCTCAGCTCGGAAAAGAGCATTCAGGCATTCTGCGAGAACTGTAAAAAGTTTTCCCCAACTAATCAGAGCGTAAAGGTAAGAGATTTTACGCATCTGTCATATACCTGATTAAGATTTCTAATGGAATTTACTCCTCCCAGGTGACGTCTCTTCCGCAAATGCTGGCCATCAATTGCGGCCTCAATAACGATAAGGACATTGGCTTTCTGAAGCGGCATCTCAATCGCTGCAACGAAAAGCCGTCTGTAGAGGTATCAGCTTCCCTCAGCACAAGCAAACCTTGTCGCTATGGGGCCAACTGCTCGCGGAGCGACTGCCACTTCATGCACCCGGATCGGTTAGCGTTGCTAGATATATTCCAAAGCTGTATCTGTTTAAATGTCTATGAAACTATTGCAGAAAGTCCCCGTCGCATACGAGCCAATCAAACAACTCGAGCAGCTCGCCCAGCGGTCGTCAGAAATCTTGGTTCCCGCTGACCTTTACCATGACCATCACCGACCAGGGAGAGCTGGTCGTGCAAACGCAATCGGATACAGAGAAAGCCGAACAGGAGCAGCAGGAGGGGCAGAAGCCATCCATAAAAAGCGGCGAGATCAATCGAATGTATGCATTGCACGCCGTCGTTTGCCAAGTCGATGATGGCACCCAGAAGAACCTTGTTTCCCTGATAAATGTGCAGCGGCAGTACCACACCATGAAGTTGGCAGCGTCGGAATCCTCGGAGGATTCCCAGCACCAGTGGTACATTTTCAACGATTTCAGGTAGGTTTTGCTTCCCACACTGACTCTAAACCTACCAAGTGACCCTGTTCCAACGTATCCTTAGCATTTCTCCTGTGTCGCCGCAAGAGTCGGTTTGGTTCACTTTGGATTGGAAGGTGCCGTGCGTGCTCTTCTACAGAAGCATAGAGGAGGAATCCGATTTGGCGAGCAGCCCAGACTCAACAGAAGCACCCGAAGAGTCGCAGCCATCCGACGAAGCAGCCGACTCACCCGTTTGCCTGTCGAATCCGTTTCTACATGTGAGTGTAACGAACCAGTGTGGCATGTGGCATGTAGTAATGTTCGGTGGCATATATTAGGACATGGTGAGCCCCATTTCAAGCAACCTGAGCACAGACGCAACTCTGAAGCCGCTGCAATCCAACGAAATGCCACAGTCCGGGGACTTGGTGGCAATGGATGCCGAATTCGTGACACTTAATCCCGAGGAGAATGAAATTCGTCCGGATGGTAAAACAGCGACCACCAAACCATGCCACATGAGCGTAGCTCGCATTTCCTGTATTCGAGGGTTAGTAAATCTTCACTTAAAAGTACTTTCGTACAATGAAGAAAACTTTGGTCCACAGACAAGGAGCGAACGAGGGAGTACCATTCATGGACGACTACATCTCGACACAAGAGAAGGTCGTGGATTACCTAACGCAATTTTCTGGGATCAAGCCAGGCGACTTGGATGCGAACTTCAGCAACAAGCGACTGACGGCTCTCAAGTATTCATATCAGAAGTTGAAGTATCTGGTTGATGTTGGTGTCATATTTGTGGGTCACGGTCTCAAAAATGATTTCAGGTAAGAACTCAAAATGATTAAAAGTTTAACAGATAACAGTAAAATAAATTCGTGCCACCCTAGGGTCATCAACATCTATGTGCCCTCCGAGCAAATAATCGACACGGTGCACCTATTCCACATGCCACACCATCGAATGGTGTCTCTGCGTTTTCTGGCCTGGCACTTTTTGGGTTTGTAAATAATTCGCCAAGGGATACATCTGCTAATTAATCTTGAATTTTTAAGGCACAAAGATACAGTCGGAGACGCACGACTCCATTGAGGATGCACGGACCACTCTGCAGCTCTACAAGCACTATTTGAAATTGCAGGCCGACAAAAAGTTCACGAGTGCCCTCAAAACTCTGTACGAGCGCGGAAAGCAGCTGCAGTGGAAAGTTCCGGAGGAATAGCTCGAGGGCGAGATCAAGCAATGCCAATCCAACGTCAGTACAAACGCTACACCGATCTGAAAACTGCAGCTTTCCCCTTCAATTTATGGTTTTTTCTCAATTGGAATTTGATTTTGTTTGTCTATTCGACTTTTAACTAAAACGACCGAAAAGAATATGATTTTAAATGTATAAAATAATTTTAATGTATACAAATTGTTTTTTTCCTTGCCGAATCTTTACAACTTTGGGTGCGCTCAGTTGAGAATGCAGTTCGAACATGTATTGTAAAATGTTTTCTGAAATTCCCGATCCCTTATCAAATAAGATTATGACGTTTGGGAAATTCAGAGGCGGCTGCTGAAAGCTCACTCAGCTGCTAATTTAATAGGTCGTTGATCTAATGTCTTGATGTCTAGCGACATTAATCGCTTAGCTACGTTACTATAAATACTGGCAGCCGGTCAAGCAGAGCACAGTTGCAGCTCAGCATTCTGTCTGAGAACATCACAGAATAAGCGCATAATGAAGTCTTTCGGCTCTGTCGTTTTAGCGGTTTGTGGCGTTCTATGCGTCGGTGAGCAACCCCAATGGCCTGGACGTCCACAGCAGTGCTAAACGAATTATATTCTGTATTGTAGCTGCCGATCCCCAACACACCTACGACGGACGCGATGGGCCCCATGTATTTGGATCTCCTGGCAATCAGGTATATATCCGGGGACAAAATGAAGGCCCCTACAGTGTGGCCGGAGTAGAAGGCAAATTTCAAAACACTCCATCGCGTGGCGAACACGTCTACACGGATGGGAGTGGCAACACATTTGTGAACCGAAAGAATGCCGGAGGACAAGGTACAGTCCAGTTATATCAGCCACCTAAGAATCCCACTAAATGAGTATATTTTTAGGTACGCACACCATTAGCGGTCCTGGATTTACCGCCACAAATGGACAGCATAAAATTGTTAGTGGAAACAACGCTGGCAGTGGCTTGAATGCTGGACGCCGTAGCCGACGAGAACCCCAGTTTCACGTTGAGCGACCTGGCCGAACAGTAGATGTCGGTCCGGGAGGATATGTTGTTCAACGTGGACGTCGTAGCCCACAACTTCACGTGGAACGTCCTGGCCGAACAGTAGATGTTGGTCCTGGAGGATATGTGATTCAACGTGGACGCCGTAGCCCACAACTTCACGTGGAGCGTCCCGGTCGTACAGTCGACGTCGGTCCTGGAGGATACGTTATTCAACGTGGACGCCGTGGCATTAATGATGCTCGTGTGCAAGGAGAGAACTTTGTAGCCCGTGGGGATCAGGCTGGCGTGTGGAACAAGAATGTTTCAGTATGGAAACGTCCAGATGGACGCACTGTAACGCTCGACAAAAACGGAAATGCGATTGTCTCAGGTCGAGGTCGACCAGAGCAGCGTGTAAGTGATAGCTATATATATCAAACGAATTCAACTTCTAAACACCTTTACTTTTGCAGTACTCCAGCTAATTCATTCAACTTTAAATACAAATATACTTAAATCATACAAATTTATGATAATAAACCAATTTAACAAAACTTGTAGCCTGATATGTATGTAAACATATGTATTATAAGTGTATTTAGTTGTTGCATTTGGCTTAGGAGCTACTTGCGACTGCAAGTAATGAGTAATTTGTAAGCAAGACTCTTGACATTGAGCCGCCAACAAGATTAAAGAATCGCACTGCAATATGTTCATAGGTTGCAAACAATAATAAGTTGCTCTGGGATTTTCCCAATCAGATTCCGTTACCTATACTAAGCACGAGTGGCCAGAGCATTTGGTTAGGTTCTGAAGCCGCAGCCTATAGATCGCTCGTTCAATCGGCAGCAGGTCGTAGACAATGTTCACCATTTGATAAGGATCCTGTGTCAGGTCGTATGCCTCTGAAAAGTGCTGGTACAAAGGAATAGTAATTTAATGGTTTTCTTGTCCAAATGATGCCTCTCCTCGTTATCACTAAACTGACAGTAAATGCGATCGACATTGTCCTTAAAGTCACGCAGGCACGCGAATGTGTTGTTCCAAGCATCTTGGCAATGACAGGCAGCTTCAGGTGTGCATTCCGCTAATCGATCACTGCGTCGCCAAGGACAGGACGGATTGTAGGTGTCAGCGTTGCCCTCGCCCCAATACTCTATTAGCAACGAGTGGCGGTATGGCGGATGTAGCGAAACATCCAGGTCTGCACGACCCGCCTGTAACAGATCTCCGTGAATTGATCGACCGTCCATGTAGGGGGGAACACTTATGCCCGCAAAATCCAAAACTGTCGGTGCGAGATCTATCAAGCTAACGGGTGCATGAAGGTGGCTTCCGGCTGCTATGCCTGGACCCCGTATTAGCAGGGGTATGTGAATGTCGGTTTCATACGGCTGCCGCTTGTCAAACGGCTGTGCGAACTGCCCCATATGATACCCGTTGTCAGAGGTGTATATGATGTAGGTATCGTCGAGGAATTTCGTCTCACTTAGCACCGCCACCAAGGCGGCAACCAGCTCGTCGACAGCCAGAAGCGATTCCCAGCGCAATTGAAAGTATCGGTCTATGGTGGCTACAGTTTCATCCGCCAGACGTGCGGACGATCCAACCAACCAATGCTTATCTGGGTCACTCGATTAGACAGTCATACAAAAGGACTCAATCAACAATAAGTATGTAGATATATGTGCAATAGCTTACCCTCTGTTGGATTATTGAAGCTGGGGGTGCGCAGAGCTTTCGTGTTGGCAAACACTCCGCGATGACGTGGTGCCGGTGTGTATGGGGCATGCGGTGCTGGCGGCGCAACCATTGCGAAAAACGGTCTGTGGTCGTCGCCTTGGGTGGCATTGCGTAGGAAGTCAACCGCACGATCGCGCAGCAGGTCAGTTAGATAAGTGGATGTATAGCTGACATTCTGGGAATTCTCGCGCAGCGTGTAATTATAGTAGCGGGAGTTTCCATGCAGTCCATGAAACTGGTTCCAACCGGGCGGCACCTTCGCCCCCCTAAACTCGTTTAGATATTTTCCAGCGAAAAACGTGCGATAGCTGTGGTTCTGAAGAATAACCGGCAAAGCCCGGCGCTCAGATCGATCCAACCAATCCGGACCGTTGCACCCGCCACTGACAGAGTTATTGAAGGTTCTGTGATTGTGCGCATATTGTCCAGTAAGAAGACTTGCTCTGGCTGGACAGCAAATGGGCGTGGGCGTGAAGGCATTATGCAACTGTGCTCCGGCTCGTCCCAAGAGCTTGCTGGTTTCATACATCGGGTACATTCCGTGTAGCTCCACATCTTGATCATCTGTTATGATTAGCAGTATATTGGGCAACTGTTCTCCCAAGACCCAGGCTACGCAGAAAATACTTATGGCGAGCGAGAGAATATAGCTGGCCTTTGTGTGTTTTCCATGAGAAAGATTCAAACAAAAGAAACTATACATTACCATCTTGATCCAAATTTTTACCGTTTTCCCGGCTTACACTTTGTTTGCAAGAAATCAACAACTCGAGCTTTCAGTGCTGGTAAATGCCCACTGGTCGACAATCGAACCGTCTCCATGACCGATAATCATATTCTTCGCTTTTGATGTTCTGTTTAATATTGCAAGCTAACTGGGACACCCGGAAGTTAATATGGTATTTTATCTGATAGTTAAGTCAGTTGTCTACGAGATTGGCTTGTATTAACGACTCCTATTTATTAGATTCTTTGTAAAATATGGTGTAAACAAAACAGGCCAATACAAAGGGAACTGTAAAACGTAACTGGACATGAAATGCTTCGCCAATTCGACATTTGTATACCCTATAACCGATCTCACACTTCATCCAGCCCTGCTGCAAATAGGCAAACTCATTATCGAGAATTATGGTTTATTTTTAACGAATATACATATGTAAATGATTTAGTGACCAAAAAATACAGGATCTTTTCCGACATCAATTGTTGAAATGTATGCTTATAGGTACAAATGTTTACAGTATTTAGTTACTTAGATTAAGTGTTAGAAAAAGAATGCAAGTCTGTGTCCGTATCACAAAGCGGCACAAAGTATAGGGACAGATACGAACGACACGATCGCAAGAACTTGAAGAGGGCTTCACTGTCTTTTCCGATCTTACAAAATAAATAACAGCAAAGATATTCGCATATGTATGTGTATGTACATATGTATGTATGTATACATAAGACGTTTCGTTTAATTTACTGTAAGTATTAGGTAATAATGTAAGACACATGAAGAATAAATGTTATTAGTGTGATGTTTGGCCTACCAGATTAGCGTTTGCTTTCGCTTCTGCTCAGGTGCTTTGATCGTAATATGTTTATGTTTATGCCATACAAACTGAGTGTTTTGAAAGTTAAATGTTGATTCTATTCCATGGGATTAGTGTATGTGTGTATGTATGTATGTACATTGGTAAGTTATCATTAAATGTTGTGTGATGGTCCTTGTGAGAGCTGGGCAGCTTGTCGATTTAAACGTCGTAGCTCCGGGACTAGTTGCCTTCGGGTTTTGGCAAATTGGTATCATATGATCGTATTATTATAGACTGGGGCACAACTCCACCCTCCTCTTGTGAGAATGCGTAACCATCTGAGGACATAGATAATAAAGTTAATATTCGTCGAATATGATTGGCAATCAATATAGTTAAGTGTATGTATGTATGTACATATGTATGTATGCAGGTCTTTATGTATAGCATCGGTTATGTGTGGATGAGCTTTGTGTTTATCTGTGTTCCGAGGTACACGGTGTAACTATTCTCCCTCTGAAGGAGCCCAGAAATACGAAATATTAACCATATTTTTCTAGATTTCTAGAAGTGCTGTTCAAACATTATTTTAAACCTATAGGTCAAGTCCTACCACTGCGTTGTTCGACGAGTACAGGTATATTCCTGGAACTGAGTGGTTAAGGCGGGTTCGGTGGTACTCACGGGATAGTTCTAGTTCCGTTTCGACTCTCGTGTTGGCCCGACGGGTAAATACATTACGTAGCAGCCTCGCAGTTTCCGTGAATCTGTTGGGTTAATTTTTTGAGCGTGGCGGATATGGTTTAGTATCGGATTTAATTTTGTATTTGAGGATTTAAGTAATTGCAGTTTATGTTATTCTAGAATTTTCCATTTTGAATTGTTAGCACTTTACTTTACACAACATTAAAATTATTCGAAAAATTCATGTCCAATCTCTAAATTATATATAGAAAACATAGGTGGCAGATCGAGGTTCTTGGCGGGGGTGGGGCATTAAGTACGTACATATAATCAAATCAGAATAAACAACGAGGTGTGTACAGGTGTACAAAATTGTAGGGCCATGCAGAGTACATAATAAAGGGAGAAGAGCCTACTGGTATTTGAGAGATGGCAAATAAAAGGAAACGATGCGAGTCTTACAAAAATTACAGCGAATCTTTGCCACTACGAATAATAAAAAGTAAATAATAAAATCTGTAAATAAAGTGTTCGAATTGTACATTTTATATACTCGTATATATTTAATTGAGTTGCCTGTTCTAAGCCCAATTCAATTGGTACCACTGATTTCATCCTAAGTCCCCCAATCCTATCGAAATCCTTTTTGGCGGTATGCTATGGTATGGAAGTGTGATGGTGATGTAGTAACTGTGTGGATTTGGTGTGGAGTGGTGTGGTGTGGTGTGGTGTGGGAATGGGTTGTCAGGTTTATCTATGATTTACTTACACCGAATAATCGATCCCAAGGCATACATAGTACTGCGCACACAGACATTTACGCAGAAAATGTTCATAGAAATTTCAAGTAAACATTTTTGAGAATTTTGCTGTTGACTTTTTGATTTATTAAATTATTGATTATTGGTTATTGTTGTGTGTTATTGTGTTTCACGTTTCAAATGTTGGGTGTAATTGGACTTGATTTGGTTTGATTGGTTAAAGTCGCATTATTGTTGTGTGTTGATTAATACAAAATAAAATCATATAAATACAATATACATAAGTGCAAAACAGGTCGGATTAGATCAGATCAAATCAGATCAGATAAAAGATTAAATCATTCAACAGCCATAGAGTAAGTGTATATCATCGGCCTAGTAAAAGTGCATGCGGGCTGTGAAGGACGGTGCGGTATACATTAATTTACGTACAATACATATATATATTTAAAACTGATACATACATAAATATCATCGGGGAATATCGTCACATTCCGTAAATATGTATATATGTAGATAGGTAGGAGGTATACGTAGTTAATAATAGATTGTTGGATAAAATTGAAAAAAGAACCTCTTACAGGGGGGGGGGGGGGAAGGGGAAAACNCTTAAGTACGAATAGTCGCTGAATGTTTACGTTTACAACCTGACAGACACATCTCTTAAAACTGTAAATTATAGTACATCCAGCAATAGAAAAGATACATCTAAAGTACAATATTAATTATAAATTATTCATATGTACACACATTTTTGTTGGGAATGCTTTTGACATTCGATCTACACACAGTATCTCTGCAGACACTATCACAGTTGGCAAATAGTTAGCACATACAATAATAATATACGCATTTGTATAAATATTTCGCATTCACACGTTTCCATTTACACATCCATTGATTTATGCTCGTTATGATATGAATTCGACAGTTGCTAGAAGGTACTCAATGCGCCTACAGGGAAATATCCCACTTAGGAATGTATGTATACTTATTTAATAACAATGTTACACTATTAAGACAATTCGACTGCCATAATGCTTTGCATTTCCTTGCCTTCGATCCGCATGTTCCAGCTGTTCACATATGCAGCGTTGTAGTGATGCTGGAGGTGGTGGAGCTGGCGCTCAGAGCAGAGCCGCCGGCAGCAAGTCGCGTCTTGGCGCTGGCTCTCCGTCCTCCCGCGACCTGTCGCTGTCTGCTGCGTTGCTGGCCGACACTGTCGTCTTCGAGGTCCAGGTGCTCTATGCGCAGGCTTGAGTCGGGCTGGACGGCTGGCTGGAGGTATTCTTTGCCGACACTTAATGAGGACCGGCGGGATATGAGGACTGAGCTGGAACGCATTAGCTTGCCCAGGGCGTAAGCAAAACCAGAATCTCTAATGACGGCAAATGGGTGCATGGATATTGATTGTTTGATTGATTGCAAGTATAAGATCAAGGAGCCATCAGCGAAAATGATGTACAAAAGAGTTTGCAAGTTGATTGTGGATGGATGGGGGATAGAGAAGGATAAATAGATTACATTTTAGGGAATTCAATTCAAAAGATACTTGCTCAAAAGTGATTAAAACACTGAATAACAATCCATGTGGTAAGAGTAAGAGTAAGAGTAAGAGTAAGAGTAAAAGTAAGAGTAAGAGTAAGAATAACAGCAAGAGTAAACTAAATTCTGATTCTGGTTCTGATTAAAAGTTTTGCATTCTGGACTGGAGCCAGTGAAATTGTGTTTGTTTCTTTAAATGCGCTGATTACAATCAATGATGCCCTGCTGCTAAGCAATGCAATGCTGCCTCAAGATATTAACTAAAACAGTTCAAAATTCCAATTTAAATTGCATTCAAAATTGCTCAATACTCGTAAGATCTACAAAATACGTACAAAACTAAGTATATATATATATGTACACTTTCTTTCCATTAGCTAATTGTGCATTAAGTTGTATAATTATGTCTCTATAGTATATATAGGTGTCTGTTACATTTCATTGTAAATGAATGATCATTGAAGAGTGTGATTGTGTGCTTCACTGGAACATCTAACAAGATGTTCGGCTCTAAAACAGTATGTACACATTAAATCTATAATACTAAGTACATGTTTCCTTGTAGATAGGTTCCTTATGTCGATTACATGTTGTGTTCCGTTTCGTTTGGATAGTTTGTATACAATTTTAAATAGGGTTCGAGCAATTTTTAGCGGCCAATGTTCAACAAGAGTCTTTGGGTACACGAAATTAAGCACTAACATACATCGAAAGTTCAACAAACACAATTTGGATGGGTGGAAGTTGGAGTGGGAGTGCAATAACTGGAGTGAGGCGAGAGGCATGAGGCATGGCGTAAGATTAAGTTAATGCCAAATGCATAATGACCCAAAAACAAACGCTAACTAATAATGGGAGCTAAAGATACGGTACTGTAAATTGTGGTGCAAAACTATTCACTACAAGAAGCATATCGATATTGGGTGTAGAAATAGATAAAGTAAGATATATGGATTAGGCACATATGTATGTGTTCAATCAGCCTTTGCTTGGTTAGAGTTGGTAGAGATAGAGGTAGAGAGGTCTACAGATTCACGTTTCAACAAATGCGCAACAATTCAAATTGAAAATATATATGGTAGGATGTGGTTGTTGACTCTCTGTTTTGAGACAAACAAAAGACTAAATACGAGTACATATGCATGTACGATATGTATTGTAGAAGGAAAGCGTGACTCTACGAGTGGTGCGGTGCGTGGCGTGGCATCGATACTTACGATGATCGAGGCTCGTTCATCACTTCGGCGAGATCGTTGCGCCTGATCTCGGTCTCGCGCACCGCCTCAGTGAGTGTCTTGAACACGGTATTGTGTATCCTGCAACGAAATTGGTTAGAGAGAATAATGGTTCCAGTATAAGTTCATGGACTCACAGTTTGCAGATGACATCGATCAGCAGGGTGGTGATTGGCACCAGGACGAGCCCGAGATAGAACACTGGCGTGGACAGCAGCATGATGTCCATGCCGGGGAAGTTGCTGCCAAGGTTGACGAACGGAAAGCAGTGACTGTAGATCACAACAAAGACGAACCAGATCACTATGGAGCCCCAAATGGCCACGTGCGTCAACCAGGTCCAGGAATTCGTGATGAGGCCCGCCTTCAAGCATACCGTCACAATCACATACTGAAATCCAATTGGAACACGAAATGTAAACTAGTTGCGAATTGATAATTGAACAGAATGTGAGAATGCCTACCGTGTACACCATATTTCCCATCATCAGGTAGTCATTGGTCTTGCCATCCTTCCATATTGTATCAGATGTGTACGCTGCCATGGGCAGCCAGAAGAGGAACACCGAGTGCAGAAGGGCATTAAAGATCCAGATCCAGAAGACCTTCACATTGAAGAACTTGGCATTCTGCGAGGGCTTGTACAGCATCGGGTACTTAAGCATCGTCTCGGCCGTGCAGAACTTCTCGAACAGACCCATGGCGAATGGGGGCATGGCCGTGAACAGCACGTTGTAGAGGCCAATCGTCCAGCGCTCGAACAGGATCTGACCCGACCAGCCGGAGTAGAGGGCGAACCACAGCTCGATGACATACAGGCAGACGTTCTTGTAGAAGCTGTACAGAATCAGCTTGCTGATGCGCGCATAGTTCCACGCCCCGTGCACGAGCAGCAGTCGCTGTAGGAACCGAAATTGGGCGATCGAATAATCCGAGGCGCAGGCCGCCTGCAAACCCTCGACGCCGGATATTCCAATGCCAACATTTGCCTTCTGTATCATGGCCACGTCGTTGGCTCCATCTCCGATGGCCAGCGTCACCGCCTTGGTGCTCTGGGTGACCATTTCGACCACCTCCGCCTTTTGCATCGGCGACACTCGGCAGCAGATGACAACGCGGCAGAGCAGACACAGCTCCTGGAAATCACCCCGTAGATCACAGCTCAGGGCGTACTTTAATGTGGTTCCATCAATGACCAGGGCCACGTTCGTGTCGTTTGCCGTCGAGCTCTTGAATTCTCCAAAGTGGCGCAGAATAACGTCACGGGTTGCCTAAGGAGAGGGAGAACAATTGAATCAATTTGTTGATCAGCTGGCAATTGGACTTACGTCAAGACTCTCCTCGTTGAGGATGATTATATCCATGGCGTGTGAGATCAGCTTGCAGGAGTATCCTATGTTTATGGCCGTTTCTTGCTTGTCACCGGTCAGCACCCAAATAAAGATGCCGGCATCCAGCAGCGCCGCAATCGTCTCCGGCACGCCGTCCTGCAGACGATCTTCAATGGCGGTGGCGCCCAGTAGGCGTAGATTGATCTCAATGAGGTCCGCCGCATCCTCCAGCTTGCGTTCGCGGTACTGGAGCGCCGTCGCTGCCTTGTGGTAGGTGTTTCGCCACTCCTCGTACACATCGGGCTGGATGTCGGCCACGGCCAGACACAGCGTACGCAGACCCTCCGAGGCGAACTCCTCGAGATGCTGAAGCGTACGGTCTCGGTACTGTAGATCATGGGCGGACAGACGTTCGTATATCACCGAATCGGCGCCTTTGCAGAAGAGCTTGATCTTGCCCTCCGGCGTCCGCACTATGAGCGACATGCGTTTCCGTGCCGATGTGAACTCCAGCACATTGAGCACCTGATATCGACGCCGCTGCCCCAGTGCATTGATCTCCACATATTCGGGCGTGCGGGTGTCGAAGACGTAGCCAAAGAAGTGGGCGCCCTCGACCAGGGCTCGCTCGTCCGGACTGGCGGCGTGGTAAATAATGCCTTCATCCCCCCGCTCGGGTATCACGGTGTGGCAGACGGACAGAAGCACCAGGAACTCCTCTATGACCTCAGCCGTCTCGTGCCGTCTGAGTATGTTTTGCACCAGCAGCGACTCCTCGGGTGTTCGCTGCGGGATGTAGACATGTCCCGCTATGGAGCACTTCTTAAAGGCCATCACGTTCTGCGTGAGCGTGCCCGTCTTGTCCGAAAATATGTACTTGACCATGCCCAGCTCCTCGTTGAGGTTCGAAGTGCGGGCCATGGCCGGCGTGTCCGAGGGCTCGTAGTACATCTCGATGTCGTAGTTGATGAATATGGCCTGTAGGAAGCGAACCAGCTCGAGAGTGACTTGCAGCGATATGGGAATCAGGTTGTTGTACAGAATGAAGAACGTGAGCAGATTGTAGCCTAGGCTCATGCTCTTGAAGTCGCTCAGGCCCAGATACCAGTCCGTTTCCGAGTGCTCTCGGGTCCAGAACAGATTGCACAGGCCACTGGTGATGCAGAGCGAGATCAGGATCATGAACAACATCAGGATCTGGGTGTTGGTTAGCTTGTCGACGGTGGACCGCTTCAGCGGCGCTGAGGTAGAGTTCTTCATGAGTTTCGTCTCCTGGCCCGAGTAGACGACGACTGCAAACACCCAGGCCGTGTTCCGTAACATGGCGCCACGCTGCAGCACTTGATCATTGCCCAGAGGCACGGATCTGTAAACACAAACAGATAGAGATCAAGACTGAACCAAAGATATAAAATACTCACTGCTTTCCGTATTCCCTTAGCACCCCGTTGAACTCGTACAGATGCCGATTGGGCAGCTCGCACTCAATCCTGCCCTGCAGCATTGTAAGGTCCTTGGTCTCCAGCAATCCCGCTGTGGCAGTCACTCCCTGGCGTATCTTCAGGTTGGTCTCCCCATCCAGATTGGCCGTCTCAATGAAGCACATGGCCTGCGGCTCACTGGAAAGCGGGAAAGCGGGAAAGCGTGACAGTGGGATCAACATATGGCCACATTGGAGTGTGCTGGCGCTTACCTGGACGATAAGATAATCAGGTCCGCGGGGAAAAATGTGTTTATCGTCACTTTTATAATGTCCCCCACGGTCAGCTCCGACCAGCGGACTGTCGACCAGGTTCCGTTCTCCAGCCGCTCAATGGGTCGATGATTTATCTCATTATCGGCGCGATGGCGTTTCTGTGAATGCGGAAAAATACACCGAATGAGCCCGTATGCAGAGTAAGTCCTCGGCCAACAAATACTTACCACATCTTCGATGATCTCCTTGATGGCGCTGACTGACAGGATAAACATCAGCGGCACCAAAGTGGTGTAGCGACCCGTGGGCGATACATCTGGTATTTGCTGCAGCAATGCGATTAGCAGGAAAAAGCAATTCGAGTATCGTCGAAACTGTTCGAATAGGAACGAGGGCAGAAAGCTGATGATGCTGCAGGAAGATATATTTACAGATGCAGTCACGTTTATTTATGGCTGAATACTTACTTATACTTGGCCGTCGTAATGCGATTGTTGCAGTACTTTACGGGCTGTGTGCCATTCAGGATTATGACACGCCTCTCTCCATCCTCTGCATCGAAGCCGGCGGATGATGTGATGTCCTCATCATCTGAAAGCAGGCAATAAATGTTCAAGAAATTATTATGTTGTATGAGCCAAAGATAACTCCACCCTATCCCCAGCCCAAAAGTGCTTTACAAAACTATTCAAAAAGATTTATTCATCTAATTATCTTCAGCCCAACCCCATTCCCACTCGGCCACAAAGAAATTTGCTGCCGTGGGACTGCCCAAGGCGTACTTCTTCGCGAACCGATTTACATCGAAGTTGTCCCGCCCCGCCGTGTCGGAGGCCGTTAGATACGGCTCGTAGAAGTCCAACTCGAGGTACTGCTGGTAGGCCAGAAAGAGGCTGCGATGGTGCTGCTTGCCCTCCGAAGCTCGCTTGGACATGTAGGCCACAATGGTCTCCCCACGCACCACATCGCAGCCCGGTATGTTGCCCACCAGCCAGAGCAGGTACTGGCCCATGGCCATGTCCAGGTCGATCATCAGGAAGGTGTAGAGCCGGCGCGGCTCCGATTTCCATCGAATGATGGGCTCTTTGACGGCCTCATCGACCAAAATGGTGATGCCTGGCTCCACCACGATGTCGCAAGGGAACTCCACCTTGATGATGGCCTGCGGCTCACATGACAACACATTCGGAATGATGCTAGCCTGTCGCAGCATCTCGGTCAGTTGGCCAGTGGGGTTCGGCGGAGGGCAGCTCAGAAACATGGCGAAGTAATTTCGATAATCGGTACAGAAATGAGTAAAATTCCAAAGATGCCCAGAACTATACGACACGACACTTACGGCTCCAGCGAATGCGCAGCGCCTTGTAGACATTCCGTAGGGCCATTCTGTGCCAACGGCGCTGGTTCTGTGGCTGATGCTGTGCAGGTGGACGGAAACGACCCTCTCCTCGCCGGGGCCGATTCGCAGACGATGCACCAGCGTTGGCGCCGTCCGACTCCAGCGTCTCTTCCTCCTCCTCTTCCCCGAGCTCGTGCAGCTCGTCAGATCCTGAATCGCACTCACCGACGGGCACGAAGGCAATGCACTCGCCGGGAGATTCGTTTTGACGTTTGGAAAACAACAGGATGGCAGGTTTCGTCTACACCTCGGGATGCAAAGAGGGATGCCACGCCACAAGTGGGCGTAAACGTATACGAGAAGATGGGAGAGCTCTTCTGAAAGGACGCCTGCGCTGCACTCAGTTGCTTGGCTCTCGAATGCGTATTTTTATTTATAATCAACGGAATTTTGCTGCTGCTGCAGGCGATTGCTTTTTACTTTGAAGTTATTCAGAGGGCTAAGGTATTTTCCTGGCTGCCGTTAGAATTGAGCATATTACTGTGGTTGGCCCATCGCCTGGCAACAACGTGCGTAACATTTTCTGGATACCTTTTCTAACCGTATCGATTTGTCACACCTTGAATGAGTTAGAGCACGTGATGGCCGATGATTGAGTTGGCTTTATTGCAGCTAAAAAGGTTCTCTAAGTCCGAAGTGTATGGAAGTTTTGATTGTTGGAGCGGTGGTGTCGAAGAATCAAAAAAACACAAAACACACTTTAACTGTTTTCTATCACTCTCACACACATACACACACAAAACGCGAAAATAAAATCCAAGAGCTGGGTTTTTCTGAGAACTTTTGCGATGTGCTTCTCTCCTGCGACTAAAATTTCACGACGAAAAGTGTGCCGTTGTGGCAGGCTGTGCAGCAAAAAGGACAACGATAAAAGGAGCTAAAGAAGAAGAGCTCGCTTCGGCTTCAGGTTATTGTGCCAGAGAGCCGCCACCCAACAGCTGTTTAATGAAATCTTCAACCAACAACACAACAGAAATAAAATAAGAGAGAAGAGACGCGAAAATAAGAGAAGTGACGCGAAGAGAAGAGACGCAAAGAGAAGAGAAGAGAAGATAGATGTGACATTCAAGTGCTTCGCCTATGGGATACTCTACTTCTAGCGTGGAATAATCGGTGTATGCGTTTTGATGTTCATAATTGATATTTCTCATTTTTATGGTTCCAATAATAGCATTTAACCATTCTGATTCCACTTTCCATTTTCTGTGTATGCATAAACATTGCTTTCCTTTCCTTGTTTTAAGAAAGTTGAACGCACTTCGTCAAGGAAAACAAATAGAAAAAATGCGGTGCTATAAAGAACTTTTGACTTACCATCCGGAAGAGTTACTTGCGAATACCCCAGAAAAAATCGAAATAAATAAAATAAAACCTTGGGACAAACGAATCCCGGAATCCCCGGAATCCCCAGAATCATGATGTAGAAGTATATAAAATAAAGAAATAGCATGTTTACGTTTAGGTGTGTTCCTTTTGATGCCGGTTTTGTCCATTAGATAGCGGAAGGAGAACCTACTCATAGCTCGGATTGAGCCGGGCAGGCTCCTATGAGGGATGCTGGCATCGGTCTCCGACCGGTCGACTACGCTCTCGCCCTCACCTACGCGCGAGGAGGATGCCGTTTGTAGGTTTCCATCGGTGGACGGTTCATGCTCAGAAGGAGGAATGCGACCGGGCGGCGGCCTGCCACCGTCTTCACCACCGGGTGGCGGTCTATTGCCGTCGCCCTCGTTGGCAATTCCCATGCCCGTTGGTCCCGTGGTTGCTGTCCTCCGCATCGCCTCCCGCCTCAACCAGCGCATGCTGTTTGTGATCCAAGCCTGTGCTCGCCCCAGCAGGCTCCACTCATCGACGGTGGCTTGGGCGGGGGCCGCAGCCGGATGTATCCTGTTTCTATCTGTCTCCAGCTGCTGCTGTTGCGGCCGCTGCCTCGGGTTCTGCCCGTTGCCATTACGGGCGATTCCTCTCTCCAGCGATGAGCTGCTGCTCCTAGTCCCTGCGATGCGGTCGCTCTCATTCTTGCCGGGATCTGCCATGTTAACATGGCTGTGGAACGCCCATTAAGTACACTCTCACTGCCGCGCGCGCACTTTCAGTTCGTTCTCAACTGTTTGGATCTAATGCGAATTAATATATTTCATTAGTTTGCTTTCTCGAAGGTTTCACTGCACTTTCACTTTTGATTTTAGGTTTATGTCATTTTGATTTGTTCAGATATTTGATATACATATGTGCTTTTATTTTTATTTGATTTTCAAAGGCTTGCTGCGGTGATTGCTATTTTTACGGTATTGATTTGCTGACCCGCGCGCGGCTGTACAGGCACACAACTCTATTGTATTATCGTTAGCCATCTAGAAATGGTAAACAACTTCGACTGGAAGTGCCCCGCGACAGCACAGGACAATATTTTCATGTATGTTTGTATGTGCAGTGAAGGGTCACTTGTCCGCCAAGGGTGGTATTACTGTGGTAAGCTTTGATTACCAGATATATCGACCTTAAAATGACGAAATCCTGCAACGCACTGTGTACCCCGAATTACCCTAATTAAAGCCGCCAACTGGTCAAACTCCTGGGGGGATAAACACGCTAGAAAGACACACAGACATTGAAATAATTAACCATTCTGTAGGGAACATCGACCTCGTCTGTGAAAGCGGAAGTCAACGAAACTTTCTCGGGGTGTCTGTTCCGTTTCAAACGATTGGCAGGAACGAAAGAACGAAGAAATTCTATTTGCGTGCACTGTGTTGTTACACTCTACGTGTTTTCCGGCAATAACTGTGTAGCCATTATACAAACATACTCATATGTACATACATTGACCGAAGCATATTCGTTTGAGCCGAAACATGGCACTCAAAAGGCTTTCAAATGGCAATGGACATTGTCAATAACTTCAAATCGGATTCCTTTGGCAAAGGGCGATTACACTTGAGTTGTTGGCTAATGCCAATGTGAGTGAGTAGCTTATCGATTGCTCCACTTTCTTACAAGTGTTCTGGTCCTGTCCTGCATTCTTCAGGCAACCAACTCTGTGGGTGGGTGGCAATCAACTGAAGGGTACGCTACTCGCCCACGCCTGACATGTCCTTGAGATGTCCACCTGGAGCTGGGCTGCCTAGGCTGGCTGGCAAATCGGGTAATTATATACTAGGTCTCACTGGTTAAAGGGAAATTGGCCATTAATATTTATTAGCAAAGTTTTCACATAATTGCAGATATACGATGCTCCGCCTTACCCACGTGAAGAACCCCACGAAAATTGGTCTGCTTTGTATGGAGTCTGACGTAAATGGTCTGGCCATCAGTTCGAACAGATAGGTGTGGGGATCTGTAGAGTGTAGGCCAACAAATGTATCTATATATGTATGTGCATATGTACTACATACATGTGCACATTCGCGACGCTATTTAAATTTATTCCCCCAGCCGCGAAGCGGTCTAAAAATATCAGCATCAACATGGGAATAAGTATTTTGGATTCATTCCAAGCGTATTTACTTATTTGTGGATTTCATATACTCGTAAAACCAAATGGATTCCGCAGGAATGTACTGCCACATGTGGTAAACTAAAAGCTGGGATTTCTAATTGATTCTCAACTGGAAAAGGTCACTCAAACGAGTGCACATGAACTGTCGTAGCATGGGGGAGAAGGAACGACTCAGCCGAATGCAAACAGGTGATAATTACCCCTCACTCACGACACCCCTACAAGCAGAACATGACAACAATGAGGACAGTTCATACGAATACTCGAATGAATCGTGTTTATCATCCGGTGGGGTAACGGGGGCTGCGTACAATAACAAAGGTAAACACAGACATCCGTAGCACCTAAAGATACACAGAGGAAATACTTGACTATGTCACCAATTCGATGAAGTCAGAGCGAACTTGGGCCATGGGACGACTGCGACAGCTCAACAAAGGCGTCCACAGACAATTGTGAAATCAAATCGATAGAAATTATTGGCAATCGACCAACATTAGCGGGGGAATACACATTTCGATGTCACCACTAAGCGCCGAAATAAATCGCTTTTTAGGAGGCCCCCCATTAGGATTTCCCTTCCTCATGTACAGGGGAAACCGTCTTGAGGGAAAGGTATCTTAGCCATTGGAGAACCACGTCACCCTTGAAGATGGGTACAACCTTGGCAAGGTGTCCGGCAAAGAGAGCTTTATTTCTGTTACCACACTGCAGATGTAGTAAATAAAGGTACTGTTCTTATGTAACTGGGGGGAATAGGCAATGTCAATGCCAGCATGTTTGCACATAAGACTGATTAGCCGAATCACCCTTTTTAATTTGCAAAGAATTTTCCTCTTCATGTTCATTAATTCAGCGTTTGGCAAATGAAAGCAAAAGTGATGCAAATTAATAAAAGAAAAAAACGTTATACATGCGGTGCGGTGTGGTGCAGTGTCACTGCGGCACAGTTTTGGCAACCGATCAACAAAAATCAGCTGGGGATTAACTTTTTTTTCTCAAAATACTATATTACGATGACGATGACGAACCATTTGACTGACTCACGAAAAGGTGATGCTAGAGTTTGCCTTCGAGTTGACTTCTCTGGACAAAAGTCTGAAAGCTAATTTCACGCCAAGTCAACCCAAGCGAGGAAAAAGGTGCATATCGCCAATGTTGACATCAGAATGCAACAGCCCACCTGGAGAGGCTCTGTTTGGCAAGAGAGAGAGAGAGAAAGATCGAACAGCAATCGCAGAGAACAGAGCAAAGACAGAGCGAGAGAGAATTTCGGCAATGAATAACGGCTTGAAAGCAAATCAAAAACCACTTTCTATGCGAAACGGCACACACGCGCTATGTATGAGAGCCCGCATTTGCATTTGTATGGGTGGGGTACGTACTACGTACACAGAGATAGAGAGAGAGAGAGAGGAGAGATGTTTGACAATTGAATCAAATCTGGAAATTGATTCAGCAAATTGTATGCCTTGGCACAGCTGTTGCTCTTCTTTTGAAAATCAAACCATAAATTGAAAAAGCACTCTACTTCTGCTTTGCCATTTCTTGTTTCCATGTCCAGGCACCATCGTTCAATCTAATATAATTACAGTTGACCTTTATTTAGGTGTTGTTTGCCCAAGCACGAGCGTTTTTCATACAGTCACTAATATCTAATATCCAGCCAGTCATTCTCAGGCATCTGATACGATTCCCGACGATACGCACTGTGATCCCGCCCGAAAACAGCGTTAAATGGGGCATTAGCATCCACAGTATTTACTTGGTTTACAATATTATCTCGCGTTTGTTAAACACGTCGACCTCGTTAACCGGTCCCATACACGAACCCCACCTGGCGCACAAACGTATTTCTTGGAGCTCGGAAAGCAACTGAGCAAATGTCGCACTGGGCATCAAGTGTTTGCGTGTGGGAGAGAGGCGATTTGTGTACCCTCGAAGAGGGTAGTATATAGTTTATCAGACGTTTGTAATGCAACGAACAATTTAGACTATGAAGTGTATATTCCATCCAAACTAGTCTCTCAGGTAATGATTAGGAACATCAAGTGTCGGTATAGAAGAAGTTTCGAAAATAAATAGATTACCTGGTCGCAGCGACAGACTGGTTGTCGGAGTCTCGACGGTATAAAAGCTTCGACTCGCAAAGCTATGATTTTACTGGTTGATTTTCGTACTGGCGTGGAAGAGTTGCCAGACCGCACAGAGTAGCCAGCGCACGCTAGAAATCAATTTTACTCTATGCGAATCTTTTCCATTGCTAGTAGTACCGATGATTTACATACGGAAGAGTATGTCCAATGTGTACCGCTAACATATGTGGGTAAAATTAACAATTAGCCTAAGCAAAGGAGCTGTTGTTATCACACATCTAAAGCAGACAGACAGCCACTGTTCTGCTGTCAAGCATTGAAAAGGGATGGTCGACTGACAAATGATGATAATGACGGGAAACATCAAGCACAGGCCCAACAATTATCAGCATTTTCCATCAGCACACATTAAAATACTCTGCAAAATGAATACTAAAAGAAAAAATAAACCTGGCCCATGGGGGGATCGAACCCGCGGCCTTCGCGTTATTAGCACGACGCTCTAACCAGCTGAGCTAATGGGCCTTGTTGAATACGGTGGGATTAATTCAAGTCACAACCTTAGCACCAGAGAGAGTTTATAGATTTGAAGAAATTTCACTGCTTTAATATTGTAAAAATTACAGAAAGCATGAGATTTTGAATTTATTATCGAATCGAAATATTAAAAATGAGCCCTAACTAACCAAACATGAAAAAAAAAGTTTGTCAGAAGTGGGATTCGAACCCACGCCCTCAGAGAGGACCAGAACGCTCAACACTTTCGTTCAGAAAGCAAGATTTCAAACCTTGAGTCTGGCGCCTTAGACCGCTCGGCCATCCTGACACATGATGCTGGCGTGTCACACACCCCATTTGTCTGGACAACCTTAAATGTTGTATAACAGTATCAGCTAACATTGAACTAACAGTTCTAGCTCTGTAAAAGCTTCGGGCCACAGAAACAAATTATGTGTTATATACATTTTAAGCAAGCAGTTCACTGTAATGTTGAAATCGTTACGGGCTCTAAACCGGCATTTGGCAAACATCTGGCATGTGGCCCATTAGCTCAGCTGGTTAGAGCGTCGTGCTAATAACGCGAAGGTCGCGGGTTCGATCCCCTCATGGGCCAGAAGACTTTTTTTTTCTTTCCTTACATTTATTTTTTAATTTTTCAAATTCCCAGCACTATGGGGACTAAACAGTTGTTTGCCTGGACGCGATTAATAGAGGAGACTGATAAGCTAAGCCCTTTAGAGGTTTTGTGCAATTATGTTATCTCATGCCGTGCACATAGGGATACCATGTAATGGCCAACCCGACTCCGCGATGATGTCACTTGAGACGGCGATGGATGATCTCACGTGTCAATTCCTTGCAAGACAGCAAAGTGAAATGTCAATTCAATTTGCCATCAAGGATGATTGAATTACCCAACCTCGGGGAAAGCAGACCCTGCCATATTGTTTAAGCGTATGGGATATCTAAATGGCAGTTTTCAATCAACTTAAACGGTTTATTGCGGAATCTTATCTGGTAAATTAGTTCCAAGTGCTCTGTATAAAATTTATGGTTTGGCAATGGACTCCTCCTATTCTACGTGAAAAGAGACTTTATTGATATTGACAATTTACGGTCTTTCTGATTTGAAAGGAAAATAGAAAACAACTAAAATAAATTAAATTGGTATTATTTACCGGAGCTTTTTTAGCGCTGGCGCATTCAAGTGTCAGGATGGCCGAGCGGTCTAAGGCGCCAGACTCAAGGTATGAAATCTTGCTTTCTGAACGAAAGTGTTGAGCGTTCTGGTCCTCTCTGAGGGCGTGGGTTCGAATCCCACTTCTGACAAATTCTTTTTGATTATTTTTGATTGAAGTAAAAATATGTGCATACAGACAGCAATAAGAATGAATTCAGTTTGATTATTTCGCGTGGAAATTCTCGACTGTTTACTATACATATTTTTCCCGTAACTGGAATAACTGGGTTGTTAAGCAAGAATCAAAAAAGAATCGTCGAGCACCACACCTACTCTTCAACCCGTAAGAAAGGTCTAGAAACGACGACTTTGCTCACGGACGAGGTCTTGGCAAGCGCTTCGATCTACTTTCAGATCCACTTAATATTGATTTTGGAATATGGACACTGTCCAGCAAGTGGTTGGGGATGGAGCGGAGATATTCTAAGTATACGGTTCTGATTTTCAAGGAAAATAGAAAAAAACTAAAATAAATTAAAATCCTTGTTTATATTTGGTATTATTGACCGGAGGTTTTTTATCGCTGGCCCATCCAAGTGTCAGGATGGCCGAGCGGTCTAAGGCGCCAGACTCAAGGTATGAAATCTTGCTTTCTGAACGAAAGTGTTGAGCGTTCTGGTCCTCTCTGAGGGCGTGGGTTCGAATCCCACTTCTGACAAATTCTTTTTGACTATTTTTGATTATTGATAAATATGGGAATACAGATAGCTATGACAAAGCATTCCTTTTAATTATTTGTCTTGGACATTCTCAACTGTCTTTTTTAGTTATTTTTAATATATTTTGCAAGAAAGAATGACGGACTTAGTAACGCCGAACGTTGTGCTTAAGTCCATACTAATCCTACGGGACTGTGGATCTGCCGGGGATGGGATGTTAAGCAAGAAGCCAAAAAAGAATGTCACCTTCAAGCGTGTTGTGGAGTACTACACCTACTCTCCAAACCTAACATTACGTTTGGAAAAGACGTGCTTGCTCCCGGACGAGGTCTTGGTAAGCGTTTCATAAGTTCCAATTGCAGATCCACGTAATATTGATTGTGGATTATGTATATTGTGCAGCAACTGGATGGGGTAGAGATACCAATGCGGCGCCTCAGCTTGGACAATTTGTAACTATTCCCTGCGCCGGCCCAGCCCCCTTCTACGAGTCCATTCTCGGAAAAGCAAACAGAAAGAAGCGGATGCAGATGTGGAAACAGAAACGGAAACGGATGTTGGCGAAATGGGCGACGTGACACTTTTAACCTAATTGGAAAACAAACATCTCTCTGTGGCCCATACTTTACACTTTATTATGGACAAGGACACGGATGTAATACGTCTAGATGGGGCAGGGGCAAATGTTTGGGTATTACCAAACACGCTGGTTGTTTGTGCTATCTGCAAGTGCATCCACACACACACACACTTCGAATATATGGGGGGGGGCAAAATAAAGACAATTTACAACGAGTTGGCTCTTGGGGCGGAAGAAGTTATCTGCAGTGAACTATTTACAATTGGTAAGGCCCAATCAATCCGTGGGCTACGTATACGTGAGAGCATTATGGCCATTTAAAGGCGCAGAAGCACAGCCAGCTGAGCTGATAAGGACACTGCACTGGTGGACACAGTAGGGCCACTGACCTACGTCAAACATGCACACGCTGTTCTCCCGGGGTCGTGAAATCAATAGTCATTCAAAAATTTAAAGCACCCACAGGAGACTGATGACAGCAATCACCTGCTAGTTAGAGGACGGTTAGAGCACCGCAATCAGTTATTTGCAGTCTTATTGGGCTTGATATATGGCCACCTGCTCGTAAAGCCACTTGTTTTGGCTATAACCATGGTCGCTGGGCAGCTACTCCTACTATATAAGGCCCGCCTCGGCCGTCACTTAGCCACCAAAAGCTAAAGAGAGTCCCACAGAAATGTTCGTTCAAATCGCCACCCTGCTAGCCCTACTGGCCTCCTCCTATGGAGCTGTGCTACCCATGGGCCTGGAGCCACTGTCCCCGCAGAGTGGCAGGATCGTGGGCGGAACGAAGACCACGATTGCAGACCATCCGTGGCAGGTGTCGCTGCAGCGGTCGGGCTCCCACTACTGCGGCGGATCCATCATCAGCAACACCATCATTGTGACCGCCGCCCACTGCCTGCTGTCCCCGATCACGGCCTCCGTCCTCAAGGTGCGAGCGGGCAGTAGCTACAGGAGCCTGGGCGGCTCCCTCGTCCAGGTGGCCGCCTTCCGGGTGCACGAGGAATACAGGACCAACACGAAGATGAACGACATTGCAGTGGTTCGCCTGAAGACCAAGCTCACTCTCAGCTCCACCATCAAGACCATCCAGCTGGCCACCTCCGCGCCCGGCCACGGAGCAGCGGCTAGCATTTCCGGCTGGGGAAGCACCTCGTACTCTGGATCCTCTTCCTCCCAGCTGCTGTACGTCGACACGCGCATCGTTGGACGTGGCGAGTGCGCCAGCTCCACCTACGGCTATGGGGGCACAATTCGGGAGACAATGATTTGTGCGGCGGCCGCCAACAAGGATGCCTGCCAGGGGGACTCGGGCGGACCGCTGGTATCTGGGGGACAGCTTGTGGGCGTCGTCTCCTGGGGCCGCCAGTGCGCCCTCGCCAATTATCCCGGAGTCTATGCGGATGTGGCAGCGCTCAGACAATGGCTGCTGGCAGCCCAAAAGACGGTCTAGTGCAGCAATAAAACCTCTTCTCAAATGCAACTCGAATGACTTTTTCGCTCATTTAACTGTTCACCTAACGACTTCTGCCTCTGCCTCTGCCTCTGCTTCTGCCCATTCCTCAGTGAACATTCTGCACACACATGGCCAAACATGCGACACAGGACGTGTGGATCCTGCGGGGTGGGTATGTGAGGTGGTGGTGTGTGCTGTAGTGTAAAAGGAATCTAGGTCAGTCTGCCCAGAAGCGGTGCAAAGGGGACAAAAACTGACTTTGGATTGTGCTTCGTGGAGCGGGGACTGCGGCCTCAAAAATAAGTAGAACAACGTGGACGTGAAACATGTTTAAATACTTAAATTTTTAGAGACCAACAAGCATTCCCTGCCCACTGCTACTTTAGCTTTCTGGCAGAGACTCTTTCCGGACTCCCACCAAAGGCCAGACTTCAGGGCGTCGACAGTATTGATCCGGCGACTGTCGCGACCAAATGGGATGCTTATGCTTATTGCCACAGCAGGGATAGGGCTGGGGCATTGACCAGGGTGCAGAATAAAAGACGAACTACCACACTCTACTCACCTTCGTACTCCTTCCGTTTTCTGCGTAGAAACGAGGCTGTCATTCGCAGGCCACGCTGCGCCAGGCTCTGTCTGGAGAGAATGGAACCCTTGGAGTCCTTGCGACTACGATGGCCGCTCTGAGGTTGCCCGGCGGCGCCTTGGCGCGATGAGAGCGTGCCAGCCACCGAGGTGGAGACGGATGCAGGCGGCTGCAGGCCACCGCAGAGGGAGGTCGAGGTTGATCTCGGTGGCGTGATCGGAGTGTTGGGCGTGTCCGAGTCTATGAATCCCAGATTGCTGTTCGCACTGTTCAAATGGATGCTGAAGTGGTCCGTATTGCCGCCTCGACTGCCGCAGAGCGTGGAGCTGCCAGCGCTGTGGACGCTGGTCGAGACGGAGGCGGCCAACTGCTCGTCCAGTCCGCTACTGGTCTTCGGTGTCAGATGCTCCAGGGACTCAAAGTCTCGATTGACGGCCGGCGGCATAGAGTGTCGGAACCACGACTCCTGCCGATGCTGCGCCACCCGCTGCTGGCGACGCCGCTGGCTGGCACTGGAGCCGAGCATGTTCCGAAAACGGCTGTCCACGACATCCTCCAGCGAGCCGTTGTCCGCATCCGGACTGCGCAGTTCCAGGCTCTGGCGCTGATAGCTCCTTCCCGACATTTGGTCGCTTTTTTCGCTTGTTTGTATAATTCCTAAGGCACTAAGGTTTAAGGCTCAGTCCGCTTGCTGATAGGCACTCGGTTTGTTTTCCTATTGGATCCATCAAAGAAGGCACTTTTGCTCCATAGTCTCTCTCGGGACTCCGCGACTTTTACATCGCTTATGTAAGGCGGCGATGCGCTCGAGCGAGTGCTGTGCCGCGGTGGGTCCCAGTCCGGGTGGGATGTTCCGCCTTCATATATATATATTCCAAACAAACACAAATCAAAACCCGTAGGCAATTGCTTTGCGACGACTCGGCTCCCCCGTCCAACCTTGGCTCAGACAGGTGTTGAGAACCAAAACAACTGGCAAGTCACCTGCTGCCCGCGCCTCTCCATCCGGCAGGGCAATGTGTAATTTTAAAGGGGAGCAGCGAAGCCCAAACAAAACGCCGAAATGGCTGGGCAAGTAGTCGATAGACTCGTACTCTCTCTCTCTCTCTCAACTGTTAGAAAACATCAAAAATGCATTGCATTTGTGGCATTTAAAAGCGTTTCCTTGTCACGCACATGCATTAGGAACGACAAAATTGGAGCGGGGGACACACAAATTATCAATTTTTGAGTGCCTCTTTTACCTTACCTTGTTGGTATGGTCCCTTTTCTGGATAGATATGGGATATCCGATTAGTTTGGCGCTTAAGCACTAGCGAGGAAAGCTCTAATAAATCTGTCGCTTCCCCGTGGCGAGTGGCAGTCTAAATAATTAAAATACTCCAGGGGGAGAGAACCTTCAAATTATTGAACTTCTTGTTAGCGGCACAAGCCCTACGAAATGGTCAACTGCAGCCATAAATTAAACGTTTAGACCTCTCCAATTACACTCTTCGCACGCTTCAGTTCGGGGCCAACTCATAAAATGGAGTGGATGGCCCACGGGTCTCGCCGTTTTCAACAAAATTCACACGGAAACGGCAGAGCGTTGGCGCTTGTCTGCGGCGACAAAGCGGAAACAGGACCAAGCCGCACTGAAGTCAAAAAACAACTGCGGATCCTCCACAGGCGAAGGCATAAAGTTGACTCGGTTGCCCCACGAACCCCATCGGCTGTTGGCCGAAGCGAAAGTGGACCATACAAGCACACTTTTACCACACCATATTAAACTACATACATTCATGTGTGAATGCAGGATGCACTAGGAGATAAATTGGAGAGTGGTACTACAGAGTAGGATACTCCTAAAATTAAATAAATTGTTCTTTTCATTTCGACCGGGAGTGCGAATGAAATAAGCAAGTGAGACGTCGCGTTTGGGCGCTCTAAAGATACACTGTACGCTGTGAGCTCACGTCAAATGGCCTTTTGGCGGACCGAGTCACCGCGGCCCATTAGCTCAGCTGGTTAGAGCGTCGTGCTAATAACGCGAAGGTCGCGGGTTCGATCCCCTCATGGGCCAAAGATACATTTTTTATTTATTTTTCATCTTTTTTTTATCAAAGCAAAGCAGTAGGGGCGAATGGGGGGCAGACAAGCCGTATCCAGGTGTTTGGGGGAATGAGAATGGTTGGAGTAATCTTATCGCCGCATTTAGAGACAACTGTTGAGATTTAACTTCTAATTTCTTTATCAATTCTTTTTACAATTCAAACTATTTTTAGGGGGTGTTCTAAGAACGATTTGTAATAATGAATCATATATAGCAGGGACTGATCGATTCCAATACCGTAAGGTTATGTTACGATGCATGTACTATATAGATAATCCAATGCATAACTTTATGAAATGAAATGAAATTACTCACAAGCATTTAGGAGACCTGGCCCGGTGAACTCTGTCCGTCGGTAGGATAGGCGTAAGCGGGACACGGAGGGCATAGCAACTCTCGGAATCAGAGCAACTGGTGCTGCGGCGCTGCCGTTGTTTGGCTTCTATTTTCACACAATCAATTCGACGCACTGCAGGCACGGAAACATTTGAATATGCAATTTTTGTTATAACAAACACATATGAACATATGTACCATGCACATACATATGTACACTAGGGGGGGATTCTATTAAAGCGCACAATGAATAATGTATTTTGATAAGAAGAACTAACAACACGACAGGGGCAGATAAGTCCGCTTACACCGGTTAGCTCTTCGCAAATTCCCCTTTTAAACTTGAAAGCGACTAACGGACATGTGCTATAACTCGAGCATTTGCTATAAATTCATAGGATTTTTGCACAGAACGACGAATGTGTTTTTAATTGTTTTGCGCTTTTTTATTTGCATTCTTCTTTGCGGCTTACACGGAACTAGTTCTCGAACAGTTAACAGCTGACTTTTGTTTTTCTTGTGTTTTCAAAACGGCCACACTACACTGTCGCATTTTATTAACCCTTATAGTGGCTTAGTATTGGCAGTTTTGTGGCGCGTTTTACTCCACGACTCGAAACAAATGCATTGTGTACTGTGTTATTTACATTGTTGCACAATGAAATCGTTGTAATAGTTCTCAAAGATCTCCCTGTGCTCAGCGGCCAGGTACTCCAGCTTGCCCTTCATCTCCTGCAGCTGCTGCTCGCTGCGCTTGCATTTGCTCAATGCCCATAGATCCCACAGATAGGTCATCTGGCTGATATACTCCATGGAGTTGCCGCCACTCTGAGCGGCAGTGCCCTCCAGTTGTGTCTCGACTATACGCATCAGATTCTCGTAGTCCACGTCGTCCAAAACGCAGCCCTCTGTAAAGAAATTTCCTTAGGAATTATTTTAAAATTTCTCTAGCCGCTACGACGAGTGCCTTACCGTCCATTTCGGCAAAACATGGTTCGATGAGCGCTTCCGCCAGCTTCCTTTTCAAGATGTGGTGTGCCACCAGATACTTGTCCACACCATCGAAAGCCTTGTAGAGTTCTCGCCTTGCTTTGGCCTCGCCACAGCTGTCGATGAGGCACATAAAATCATTGAACCAGGCGAATACTTGGGTCTTTTTGCAGACAGGACAGCAAACAGAAGCTTCCGCTGCATCCGGGCTCTGCAGCCACCAATTGAGGTTAGTCTGATGGGGCAGTGGCTCCGGAACAAATTCTCGACGGCAGTTCTCGTTTTCACAGCGATATCGATGGAACTTCAACTGTGAGAGAGAGAGGCATGGGAGGGATTATTTCATTGTTGAATTTCATTAAGTTCATTAGGAGAAAAATCTTTAATATTTACGTAGTCCTGGTCTGGATCGGTGCGAGTACACTTCGCACAGCTGCAGTCAAATTTGTAAACCTGTCGCAACGGCTGCGATCTCTGGCGAAGCATGCTCTTCTTGTAGTCCATCGTGTAGCAGTTGAAGATCTCGTCGCCAGCTTCGATATCCACTGCAGAGTAGCAGACCGCCGTGCAGCCGTCGAACTTGGTGCGTATGGAGGGTGCACAGGCATGATTGCAGATGCTCAGATAGGGCAAATTGATGGCTGTGAGGGGCTCCGTTTGACTCAGATTATGCAGTTGACCCAGCTGGAGGTGGCGTGGTTTCTGCCACATTTCCGGCTGCAGTAGGCCAAACTCATTGGCCTCCAGGTTCACGGGCAGGAGGGCGTCCCCGACATGGCCGTTAACCAGGAGCTGACCGGCACTACGGAGTATCAAAGCGGCTACAATCAAGTGCCAATCCTCAACGGAGGCACTCGTGGTCTGGAACTGATCAAAGAAGTCCGTGCACTCCTTCAGATAGACTTGCAGTAGGTTGGCGCAGAGCATATGGTAGACCAGCTCCGCTTGCGGAGCCTTGTCCAGGTGGCTTATCATGCGCAGGCTCTGCAGATACTGCTGGGTCTGCTCGTCTTCCTTGTCGGCACCCGTGGTCAGAGTCATGAGTGTGGACCACATCTCGGCCGAACTGGCGCATTCCTGCAGCTGTGGCAGCATCGACGGCATATAGCTCAGGACCATGCGCAGTGCCAAGTGCGAAACGCCTACCATTTTGAGCAGATCTTTGCGGTAAGCGGCACATTCGAATCTGTGGATGGATTTGTGCCGCTCGCGACACTCTCGTGAGCAGTAGACCACTCGCTGCCGACACATCGGACAGGGAATAGGAGCGCACATCAGGCTGCAGGCGCATTGCTGGCAAATTAGTCTCTGTTCCAGGGGCACAAAGCACGTGGCCTGCTCCCTGAATATGATTTTTCCCTGCGGTATAGCTTCCTTGGAAATCATGTGGCGACCACTTCTGCCAGCCTGACAGACGCTGAAATATTGAAACCGATTAGAGCTGACCAAAGGAAAGTCATTTTAATTACATTTCCTGAATGGGATCGGTCTTCTCTTGTTCCTCCTCTGATTTCTCGCTTGACGACTGTCCGCGCAGCATTTCCAGATTGTGTTTTAGATCCTCCAGCTGATGGCGAAATATTTCGTTCAGCTGCAACTTCTCTAAGCACGCTATGTGCTCCGTCAGTTGCTCGGTTCGTTTCAGCTTCGCTGCACAGTGAGCTTGCCGTATGATTACCTTGTGCTGCAGTCTCCTGGGATACCCGAATTCGAGGGCATTGGCGCAGTCGTCGTAGGCCTCTTGGTAGTAGCCGTACTCTTGCAGTGCTATTCCGCGGTTAGCAAATGCCAAACAGAGTACATCTTTAACGTCTTCTGCGTCTAGCACGGCCTTTGTGTAGAGGCGACATGCCCCGAGGACCCGTTCCGCCTCCGCGTCTGGCCCAAATTCCTTTGCGGAGGATCTAAATAGACTGTTGCCCCTCTTTCGCCACATCTGTGATCTATCGGCGATCGCTTTCCTATCATGCGGCTCGTCCAAGTCCCCAAGCAGCTTCCGCGTCAAATCCTGGAGGCTCTGCCTCTTCTCTTCTGACAGAGAGTGCAGTGCCTTGATAGCTTCATATTCGTTTTGATAAGCGCCAACTGGAGCGATTAGCTCGTCCTGTTGGGTGAAAATCTGAGCCAAATTATCCATTCTGGGCGGATATTTAGCTTTAGTTAATTCAATTTTATAAACATTAAACAGAAACGCAGTTGGTTTAATTTAGTGCATTTCTGAACAAAGTTATCGACAGAACCGCGCGTTAATGCTTCGATATCCAGCTATCGAAATCTTTTAAATGGAATGTTCCCAATACTACACTAAAATGCCACTTTTAATTGGAGAAAAAAGCAAATTTTATTTTCAAAATGCATCTTAGGTCTTTTTTAAATAGGGTTGTCGTTCCTGAAAAGATAAAAACACAATATGTTAGGTTTTAGGCCGTAAGGGATAACATTTTTTATTGAAAAAAACAGTAAATCAACGAAGTGTCCCCTTTAACTCCTTCATACGCTCGAGTATGCCCGGCTTCAGCACTGCTCCTACATTGCATCTGGGCGGCCGCCGAACGATATCCGGGTCACCCCTATCAATCGAGCTGCACGTGGCCCACTCCCCGGTCGCATTGTCGAACACTGCGCGGAAGTGCACAAACGTGGGGGCCACGTCCATAAACATGGAAAGCACGCGAACACGCAGGTCCTGCGTGGAATCTTTGCACATGTTCCTGCGGCAATTGAAGGTGAATTCACCCAAATCATCGAGGATATCCCTCAAATCCGATCGAAGTCGGATCGACATATGCGGAAAAAGGGTTTCGATCAGGGGGCCGCGCACTTTGCACAACTTGCCATTCATCTTGATCAACGCATCGTGGTAGGCACTGCCCAAGACACAGCCTTCGATCATGTGCTTTGTTATGTGTTCGGTTGTCAGTGCACTGAAGAATCGATAGTGCTCGACTTCGCGAAAGATAACACAGCTCTGCATCACGGTCGGTGGCCCCTTGCCAATATTCTTGTCAGTACATGTCACAATTTCATTTACCTTGCGCAGCGTAACGTTTGGAGCATTCAATAGGGCGTCGAGCTGGGAGGATGCTAGAAGAGTGTTATCCGTGGCAAAATCCTGTGAAGCTGTGACTGTTGGCTCCTTTTCCTGGCAAGGAATGGTTTGCATGGATGTGGTCGGCTGCTCAACCTCTATGCTGCGATTAAAGTCGACCGATTCGATGCGAACCACAGCGTTCATTGGTAGAGCCCGGAACTCGTGCCGCAGTTGCGGCACCTTCTCGGGCATCACACGCGGCTTCTTGAAGGCCACTAGGTTCGACCCATGCATTTCATGTTTGCGTCTTTTGAGCTCACTGGGAGGCAGCGCCGGCGCATCCTTTTGCCTCACATTCTGCTGAGGCACAGACACAGGTTCAGGCACAGGTTCAGGCAAAGGCTCAGGCACAGGCTCAGGCACACGCTCAGGCTCAGGCTCATGCTTAACTTCCACTTCTGCGTCGCTCACGATAACTTCGGGTTCAGTCTCCTCTACCTCCTCTTCCTCCTCCGTCTGTACAATTGCAAGCTGAGTCTCTGGTACTGCCAATTCCGTGGACAGATAAGTGTTTTCACTTTCTGGAAACTGTGGCGGTTTCTCTGCATTCAATGGCGGAACTACTGTCGCTTTGGGAATGGCAAAGCAGGCAAGGTTCGAAAGAGACTCCTGACTGTCATCTAAGCGTATAATTTGATCGTCCAAATCGATTCTCTCCCACTGGACCTCCTGGCTGTTGAGGCAGCTGCCGCGCATCTTGTCAAGAAACTTGATTTTCTCCTGCTTGACCTGCTGGCTCTCCATAAGCGGATCAGTATAGGTGTCTGACAACTGTGAGGCCGGAGCCACTTCGTCCATATCCACAAAGCTAGTAGATTGATCGTTGAATTCGGTGTGCACTGCAAGCAGAGTAGGGGACTGAGTAAGTGGACAAGCAAATCAGACATAAAACTTACCACATGGTGCGGGTGTGGGTGTGGTGCTATCTAATATCTCCGTAGATTGGCTGATCTGGGGCACTTGGCGTATCCATTGATCGTGCGTCCAGCAGCTCGTATACAGCTTCTTACGTTCCTCGAACAACAATTCCATGTCCTCGATCCGGCAACCGGTACGATCCTCGTAGTGTTGCTCAACAATTTCATCGAAGTCCGTGTGCAGCATTAGATCTTTCCAGTGCAAGATCTTTGGCGAAAGCTGATCCAACTCCAGCGAAGGCATTTCCACTCCCTTGCTGTGCAACAGGCAGCGCAACAGGTCCAGCTTCACGTGTAAATGGAGTGGCCAATGGCCATTCGCCACAACCTGCTGATGACATCGCTGCAGCCTGCTCTCGTTGTCATAGAGTGCCTCGACGCTGTGGAAGCTTGTATAAGTGCAGAATTCCTCTAGACTCAGCTGGGAGAGTATGCGCCAAATCGTTCTCTTTAGCCCATGGCTCTGATGGATGAAGTAGAGTATATTTTGCTCCTGTTAAGGGATAGACGGAATTAGTTGTGGGTGCCACAATGGGCGTTTTGTTGCTTATCCTACCTGTTCGCGTGGCGCTTCAAAGACTCCCATAATTTGTTTGAGAAGAAACTGGTTACTTGTATTAACTGCAGATGCCTCAGGATTGACTGTTTCTGCTGTGCTACTTGGTGCTACCTCAGATGTTGTTTTTGTCTGCACTTCTTTGGGTGCTGGTACAGATGTGATGGTCCCTAGATTATCAGTGACACAGGGTTCTTCAGCCACTCGCTCAGCAGTAGAGGTTGTACTCTCGGGTACCTTGCTGGTCCATACTATTTGTTCTACTATAGTCACAGTGTTTGGTTTCTCTGCAGTTGCAACTTCAACTTCAATCGAGGGTGCTGGACATTTTCCAGGTACTTTTTCAGTTTCTACCTCGATTGCTGCAGTCACTGCTGAACCTTCGGTGTTCTTTTCTCCACTGATTTGCTTTGTGGCTGTATCCATACCCGAGTCTGGATCACTGATAGCCGCCGCCTTATTCAAGTCCCTGACCGTTTCGATGATGTTCTTCTCCAGGACAGCTCGTCTCTTAAGACATGACACATGACGAGATATGTACGCTTTCAGATTGTGTGGCACGTAATGAACTACATTCAACTTTTGTTTCACGTCAAGCACAGCTTGCCTGGCTGCATGACATCTTACGATATCTGGAGTGTTCTGGCGCAGGACAGATACACTGCTCTCAACGCAACGACTGGCAAAGCGAGAGCTTGGATCTAGCTCTGGCTGTGGCTCCATTTCTGACTGTGGCTCTATCTCTGGCTGTTGCTCTATCTCTGGTTGTGTCTCTATCTCTGGCTGTGGCTCCTTCTCCGACTGTGGCTCTACCTCTACCTGTGGGTCTACCTCTGCGTGTGGCTCTATCTCTGACTGTGGCACTATCTCTGACTGTGGCTCTGGCTGTGGCTCTGGCGGAACTTCTCTCGCCTGCGTTATGGGTACAGCAAACTGCAGACACTTGGCACGAAGCTCTGGCGTTGCTGAATCGAAATTATATTTGAACATTTCACGGATTCTCCTGGATGTGTAAAAGGAGTTATAGTAATGTCGAAGCTGTCGCATACAGCAGTTGTTGTCCTTCAGTTTCTTGTTCTTGCTAAAGTGGTTGGCCAGCTGAACCTTTAGCTCATCGACATTGATGCTTCTACAGAAGGTATTAAACGACACAGGATACCTGTACTTAATACCATTCGGAGTTATCAGGTTTTCCTCTGCGGGTGGTGGCTTGGCACTTTCTACCCATCTCTTGGCATTCTCATTCAAGGTTTCTGCATGTCCGCATAGCTTTTCCATCAGAGATGGGTCCCCACCACAGTCGAAACGGTAGCTGAGGCTTTTCCGAATATGGGGAAATATGTAGAACCGGCGATAGAACTCATCGAAAGCCTTTATGCAGAGGGGATCTTGCGGGTTGGCTATCAGCCTCGGCAGCACCGACTCATCTTTGATAGTTTGTCTCAGCGCGGACTCGATAATTTCATCGTAGTTTATATGGCGCCTGAATACCTCAAAGGTAACGGGATACCTGAAGCTAAAATGGAACATGAGAGTTATTACCAGCACAAAACGCGCTTGTTATACAGAGTTATAATGAGTCTTACCCTTTCAACATGTAAGCGGATTTGTTATCGTTCGCGGAGCTCAAAGCAGTCGACTGTCCGGATCTGTAAATCATGTTAAAGTTAATGTTTAATGGACCAACTCTAATCTAGCAGTGTAAGCTAATATACCCACATTGTATTCTGAGGCGGTATGTTTTCATTGTTCCTCAACTGCACCTCGGGTTCCACACACTTTTCAGCCTCTTTCCTGAAATTAAAAAAAAACGAGAAGGGACGTGTGAGACGCTTCTTACGCGTCACAACTTTTATACCCGGTACTCAGTACTACATCTGTATCTTAGCGGTCTGCAGGGGCAGACGGGACGGTGTGGGTTTAGCCACTGCAAATTAATTTCTTCATTGTGGCTATAATAATGATCCAATCGGACCAATTTGGGGATCTGATAGATATGGCCATTCCTCACAGAATGGCGTTTTTAGATTTCTTTTATCTTCAAAATTGTAGATTTGGGATGTTTCGCCCTTTTGCGAGGGCGGAAGGGGTCGGGGCTTATTTGTTAAATACACTGGTTTCAGTGTGAGCATACAGCAGTCTGGAGCCAAAATTTGGTGGCATTAGCTCTTATAGTCTCTGAGAACTAGCCGACAAACAAGACGGACAGACGAACGGACGGACAGACGGACAGACAGACATGGCTCCATCGACTCGGCTATTGATGCTGATCAAGAATATATATACTTTATGGGGTCGGAAACGTTTCCTTCTGTGCGTTACATACAACCGTTATTCGCACAAATACAATATACCCTATTTTCTCTTCGAGTACCGGGTATAATAATATATGAAACACATTTTTTCCTACCGTGTAAGGGAAATGTTGTCAGTGTTTTTATCTCCTTTAAACGGAATCGCAAATGCATTTAGCTTTTCCAGTAACTTAGGAGGGGTCCTCTCACTGAATTTATATGCGAAGGCATTCCTAACTTTCTGATCCAGGTAGAAGGAGCGGTAGTAGCGGCCTATGAATTGCTTGTCGGTACAGTTGCTTTTGTTACACAACTTCCCGACTATATCCTTATAGTTGATGTACTTTAGGAAAGTCCTCAGCGTGACCGGAAATTCATAGGATTTGTCACAGACGGTGACCACAATCGGCTCGCTTGGAATTTGCCTACGTTTTTTATAAACGAAAATATTTAGCTGGCAGTAACTCAGAAAAAAAGAAATACTCACGGGTCTGCCTCATTAGGAGCGGTTCGACTCTTTATGGCTGAGATTGAAACTCCACTTGAAGCTCTGCAATGTAGAAACCTTTTCAAAATTACACTTAAAATTCATTAATATTTCCATTTACCCTTTTGTTGTTGATGGGACAACCCGCTTGGCAAACCTAAGAAGCCTCAGCTGCAACGCGGGTGTCGCTTTGTTAAAATTGTAGTTATATTTCTTCCGAATTCCCTCATCTGTGTAAAATTCTTTGTAGAAGCGTTCCATCAACTGATAATCACTAAGAATCGTCGCATCTTTCTCTTTATTCTCTTCTTCTGTTTTCCTGAGCTGGCAAATCATGTCAGCGTAATTGATGTTCAATGAAAAACATTGCAGGGTTACGGGGTATTCGAGTGTGGCGTTCTCTGAAGGGGGTTCTGCGGCTCGTTTGGTAAACGGTAGGCTCGATCGGTCGTTGGGATGTGGTTGGCTGATTTTTGAGCTATTGGTTGCTTTTGGTTCTTCCATAGGTGTCTCCCCGCTGTCGGCTAT